TCCCGTCTAGTGTGAAAATTCAGAAGTGGTTTTGTTTATTTTTGTGATTTGTTTGCTTTCGGCCAATGAGTCAACAGTTACTTCTGCTGCTGCATGCTGCATGCTGAGATCCCAAGAGATACTAACAATAGTAACTGCAAGAACAGTAACTGTTGTTCATATATGGTGAGCTTAGCCTTTTCCTCAGCATCTTTTGAATGCAGAGCTGAAGCTAAACAGGTAACTTGTCTTTCAATTATACTAAAAGTGATCTGGCAGTGGAGGACAGACGGACGTGTTGTTAGAGAAAAGTCTTGATTTTTAAAAAATGGTAGGAGCTTTCATGAGAAAGTATTATATGTACTACAATATATTTGCTGAGATTTTTTTGCAAATGAACAAACCCTAAATACTTAGTTATCAAGTATTACAAGAGGCAATAGCACCACCTGTTGACCAGTAATGGAAAACAGCTCATTCATTATTTGCTTAGTGTTATCAATAGTTGTAGAGTTGTACAAAGTTTAAAGGGGTTCTCTGCTATGATGTTTGAAGCAAAGTATCTCCTCAAATCTACATTGCAAAACAAGGTGGAAATTCTGTTTCTATTTGGTCACATTTTTTTTAAAAAAAAATCTTCATTGAAAAGTATCTAACTGGTGTCTGTAAGTCTCACTTTTAACTCTTTATTGGAGCTTAGGTCTTCTTAACAATAAAAATGTAAAATGAGAATGAAAGGCAAGTGGACAGATATCAATATTATAATTGCAAGACTAATTCTATTTTATTTGAATCAACTACTATCAATGGCAAATAAATATGATCATGCCAAGGACAACAATTAGACTTTTCAGAAGTGGTGTAATGGTAAGGTGTTCGATTGAATTAAGGTGGCCAAAAACATTAAGATGATGCTCTTTATGATATAATCAAAGCCATGCCTGTTTTGTGTGTGTTGCATGTGACGTACATAAAAAAATAGGCAGGACTTTGGTTACTCTATTGTGGCTGCCATCTTGAATTTTTTTCTACACTCCAGGGACACCACTGAAGGTAACTTAAGTTTAAGTCAACATTTAGTCATAGTCATTCTGGGTAAGTAGATCAGTGGTGGTATTCAGCCAGTTCTCACCACTTCGGGAGAACCGGTTGTTAACTTTCTGAGCAGTTTGGCAAACTGGTTGTTGGAAGCAATCATTACGGCAGAGAACCAGTTGTTAAATTACTTGAATCCTACCACTGAAGTAGACACATCTTCAAACAAAGCACTAAGCTGCACTTATTTTTTAATCTGTAGGGCATATGTAAGAGTCAAAGACAGATATAGACATGGATGATATAGATAAGATGGCTTTGCTGCATGTAGCTTCAGAATTTGAAATACATATATTTTTAAAAGTCATGGTGTGGAGAGTCTGGAAGACACACAGGTGTCCACAAATACTCCATTGCCTACAATGTATCTCCATTGATCTCCCAAGAAATTTGCCAGGCCATAGGACACCAGATTTCAGCCAGGCATTCTAAGGATGAATTAACAAATTTTGCCGGCATTCAACTAGCCCTTTTAGCAACCAACATAATAAAATAATCCTTAATGGGAGTATCCCAGGCGATCTAACAGGTGAATTTACTTTCAGTTCCTCATGGGGGAGTAGTGTTATTGATTTTGTGCTGGTTTCCCAGCTACTAAAACAGGCAGTCCATGTCTTTTTTGTGGACTGCCTCACAGAGAGTGACCACTACCCGCTGGTTACAATAATTGGGCTCTTTTCAAATATACATCTGCCTAGGGGCCCCCAAATATTGGATCCCTATGTGACTTCGTATGCAAGGAGGATCAAATGGTCTTCCAAGACTGAAAGTTCCACTCTCTTTTATCATCTCCAGAGTGTCTTAGCCTATACAATCAGGCCCTAACATGCAGTGACTCAGAGGCAATCTCGTCTTTCGAATCACTAATTAATAGTATTCAAAGGGAGCTAGGAGCTGACTGTAGGCCAAGTGGCCCATATCATCCAAGAAGCAATTCCTGGTTTGATGAAGAATGTCTGCTGTTTAGGAACAAGATTAGTCAGGTTTACCTGCTTTATCATAATCAAGGGAATAAACGCCCACCTGAAGACTATTATCGCCTGAAGCGGGAGTATAAAGGATTAATTGTTAAGAAAAAGAGGGCTAAAGAAAAAGAGAAGTGGGATCTACTTCTCCTCTCCATCCAGTAGAAGAACACTCGACAATTTTGGCAAATTGTTGCCAGTTCGTTGCCTGGTCATCAAGAACTCCCTCTCTGTTGTATCTCCAACAGAGATTGGGAAAACCATTTTGGGTCAATCTTCCAGGCTTCAATAGTCATGACCGGACTTGGACCACAACTGCCCCCTGCAATTCAGGACTGGCATCCTGTGTCTCACACTGAGATTAATGAGTTTACCTCTGAACTCAAGTCAGGCAAAGCCCCTGGCCTTGATGCTATACCCCGATTTGCTAAAATCTAATCCCGAGTGGTGGATTCCTCTTTTAGCAACACTCTTCACCCATAATAATACCTCTGGCAGGATCCCTTCCTCCTGGAGTCTAGCAATCATTATTCCTGTTTTTAAATGAGGAAATAGGAACAACCCAGCCGATTATCGTCCTATAAGTCTGCTCTCCACCATTGGAAAATTGTATTCTAAATATCTCCAATGCAGACTCCTCACCTGGGTCGAGGAATCCAACATAATTGGTGTTGAACAGATTAGGTTTAAAGCGGGCTGTGCCACATTGGACCACTGCTTTTTCCTAGCGCACCTGGTTGATAAATACGCCACCATACCAGGTGGTAAATTTTTTACTGCTTTTATTGATCTAAAGACAGTGTTTGATTCAATCCCAAGGGAATTGTTGTGGTCAAAATTGCTCAAAAGTTCCATTGATAGACGTCTTCTGTTCTTAATTAGATCCCTACATAATCAGACTTTTAGTCAGGTCAGGTGTGGTTTGCAGGGAGAGCTCTCAAATCCTATCCCAATAAAGAGCGGAGTTAGGCAGGCCTGTGTCTTGGCTCCTCTTCTGTTTAACTTATTCTTATCTGACTTGGTGTCTTACATTGGACATACTGAGTCCCACACCCCAAAGTTGTCAACTACGAAGATCCCGCCTCTCCTTTATGCTAACGATGCGGTCCTCCTATCACTGTCAAGGCTTGGTCTGAAAAGGCTACTTTCTGCATTTGGGTCCTACTACGCTGAGAAGCACTTGTCCATTAATTATGATAAATCAAAAGTATTGGTGTTCTCTAGAGCCCAGAAGCTATATAACTGGGCTATTAAAGGTAATGCTGTTAAGCAGGTTCTCCATTTTAAGTATTTAGGTATCCATTTTCAGAACACCGGTGCTTGGACTAGACATCGAATTCAGGTGCTGAATTCGGCCTCCTGTAGCCATCAGCAGATTCTAAGATTTTTCTATACCCAAGGAGGCCAGTTTATTCCTTCTGCTCTGCGTATTTACAAAGCCAAGACCTTGGCCCAAACTCTTTACGGAATTCCTATATGGATATGGGGCTTCAAGGAGTGTATTGAAAGAACTCAGGCTGTTTTTTTTAGGAAACTTTTGGATCTCCCTCCCTGTGTTGGCTTTGCTTCGATGTACCTGGAATTGGGCATTCGATCAGTCGAATGCATGGCGTGGATTAATACCTTTAAATGGTGGTTTTGGGCGCTCTTTTTGGCAGCCTCTGGTAGCTACCTCTCCCTGGTGTTAGCTGACTCCTATACTTCTCGATGGGAGAGGGAGCTGACAAAGAAACTCCACCTGATAGGTTTTTCGGGGGATGCATTGGAAGACTATGGCCTTAAGGACACCCAATCTATGGCTTGTGGACATAGACTTGCAATATCTAAGAGCTAGAGCTAATAAAACCTGCTCCCGTCTGATCTTCAGCCAATTTAACAATTACGGACTGAGGATGGCCTCATATTTTTACACTTTAACCATCCCTAAGTATAAAAGAGTCTTCTCCCTTGCTCGTTTCAACGTCTTGCCCTCAGCGTTGCTGGACGGACGATTTAAGAGGCTCCTGATAAGTGAGTGGTTATGCCCCTGTGATAGAGCTGGAGTTGAAACTGTGGAGCATGTTCTTTTATACTGCCCTATGTATAACACAGGCAGGACTAAATTACTGTCTCTCTTAGAAACAGATCTCTCTGGATCTAATGCTAGTAATTTGACCTTATATTGTTTAGGGGATGGATCCTCACACATTACTTTTCAGGTTTCTAAATTTTTTTTAAGAGCTGTAACTATTAGAGGAGAACAATGTAATTCCTCTCAGCCAAGGCTTCTGGTAGCCAATGTTCTTTTGCAATTATATTTGTACTTTGGTCTGTGACTGCAAATAAAAGTTATTATTATTATTTCCATTGTTAGTCATTTGCAAGGATAACAGAGTCCATAAAACAACAATGAGTACTTTAATTTCAACCACAATAACATAAGGGCTATCAATAGATTCAAACTCAATGTAATTCGCTCCAATCTTGATTGTAGGAAATATGACTTCTGCAATAGAGTAGTAAATGTCTGGAACACTCTACCTGATCCTGTTGTTAGTCTCACTAATCCCAATACCTTTTAGCTTAAACTGTCTACCGTGGATCTTTTATGTTTCCTAAGAGGTCCCTAAGGGGGCATGCATAAGCGCACCAGCGTGCCTACCATCCCTGTCCTACTGTCCCCATTTATATGTAATCATTCTATGTGTTTATGTTTATGGCTTATGTTTTGCCTATTTATATCCTTTTATTTGTGCCAATTTTTTTCATGTGTCCATGTCTATGTCTATACTATTACTTGTTTCCTTGTACTTGTGGATGAATGAATGAATGAATGAATGAATGAATGAATGGTTGTTTAGGTGCTACAGAGCCAAGACAAGGCCACAGACATCATGTGTAGTGTCCACATATATTCCTATCCTCCATTTTATCTCCAGGGTTAGTCATTTGCAAGATAACAGAGTCCACAATCCAAATGCATTAATGACAACTTTGAAAACTGCTTTAATCAGTATAAATAAATTACATAGGTTCTCACTGAACAAAGTAAATTTTCAAAATTATTTACATTGTATGATTATCTAAAATAAATGCCTCTTTCATTTAAAATATTGTGCAAAAAGTATTTAGACACAACTGAATGCTGTCCATTCAGCTTATTTGCATAAATTATTGCCTTTTATTTCTTTGTTTCAGAAAATATATTCCTGACATAATACATGTCAGCACTCAACAGAAGCCTGGGAGCTGCATCCTCGAAACTCTTAAAGGACAGCTTATTGACTGCAGGTCAATATTTCATTATTTGAAATTTAAATATTATGAAATAAAGGTGTTTAAAACACAGACAAAAATAGTCTCTATAGAAAAATATGCATAACAAGGTTAATAATGAACTGTCTGCTACTTTCAAGTAAGCAACTTTTAAAAGAATGATTTTGGAACAAAATAAAGTACCTTTTCTAAATCATAAGGGGGAGCTCCAAAGCAATTTGAAAAGTACAGTATCACATTTCTATACAGAAGTCAAAGGCACATCTCTGAAATGTAAGAATGCTGGAGCAGCCACCAACTACGTACATACCTCAAGTTTCAAATATTGAAGGCACCTCCACATTTTTTTAACTTGCTTAAAATGTGGTTAGATGGTTTTCTTTCTCAGCTTTTCTTTTCATTTTGCAATGATGTTACAAAACTATCCACAGAGTCAGCCATTAATATAATAAACTCAGGGGAGAGGGAGAGAGATATTATAGCTGCTTTCCCTGATCTAGTACCTTGTTTACATGTTGCAGTTAAATCTGCCATTCAAGTGTCTTATTTACAATGCCCATTTGCTATTGACAATCTGAACCATTCTCGGCTAACAATATGAAACAGAACAAGTACTGTAGATGAACACTATAGCAGGGTAGTATTCCATACTTCATAAATGCAAATAACAGTGGTCTCTCATGATACCTGCAGCCAGAGATTTCTTATAAATATAGGCCAAAATGTGACTTAGCATTTATGAATCAAGGAAATACTTGAAATGCTATGAGTGCTGAAATTAATACATCAGTGCTGAAAGTCTTAGTCACAGTTCATCAAGTCCTTGGAAATGGCCCAAGACCATTTTGAATAATTTTGGAGAACTCCAGTTTTGATTTCTGAGTGTGGTGAAACAGTTATTGGCTCAGTGTGGGCTACTCCCATTGTTTTTAGTGAACTGAGTTGATTAGATCTGTCTCGGTTTTCATACCAGCTTTAGGGCAGATCTTAGGGCTGTAACCTAGCAATAGCATAATCTGTAATTTGTGTTTCCAGATGATTAAATTGGCTATAATAATCCTGGACTTCTCCTTGACTGATTAAATGGATCAATCCTTAAAGGAAGTGATCTGTATCTCTTTGCAAGAGGAAGTAATAATGCTTTTACTAATGAGAAAGTTCTTTGACATGAAAGATCTGCATAATTATAGGTCATTCTCAAATATTCTAGTTTCGGGAAAGGTGAACAAGAAGATAGACGCCTTACAACTTCAGACTGATGTGAATGATACTAATTTTCTACCTCTATATGAATTAGCCTTTCAGTTTATCATGGTAAGGAATCTACACTGGTTCCCTTGATAGATGAGTTATGTCAGAAACAGAAAGGGAATAGTATAAACTGCTGGACTTCTTGAATCTCCATTTAGACTGGGCGATGAAGGCATAACTTATAATAGTTCTAGTACTGCCAGGCCATGTCTAGGATATAGTGTCAGGGGACTACTGCTCAAGACCAGGGCTGACAATCTTTGATGATCCTCAGGGTTCCTTCCTGGGGAAATTCAGTTGAAATTTTAAAATTTCAATGGGCCTGGTAGCTCAGCAGACTAAAAGCATTGTGATTAACACCAGCTGTCTGCAATAACTGTAAGTTCGAATCTCACCAGGCTCAAGGTTGACTCAGCCTTCCATCCTTTCTAAGGTAGGTTAAATGAGGACCCAGTTTGTGGGGGCAATAAGCTGACTTTGTATAAATATACAAAAGTATGAAGGCTATTGCTTAATGCATTGTAAGCTGCCCTGAGTCTCCGGAGAAGGGCGGCATATAAATCAATTTTTTTTTTAAAAAAGAGTGTGTCATGCAGATCAACCTAAACTATCCTCATCTATCTCACCCAACTCCAAGGATACAAGAGGGTTGAATGAGGAAATATATACTGAAGTAAAACTTGGAGGAGATGGTGATATTGTTGGTAAATAGGAAAATGTAAGTGGGAATCTTTCAGATGGAGTTCCACTTCCCATAGAAAAAATAAGTTTTCTATCTGAGAATCGTCTTTGATTCTAAGCTATCATTGGATTCATACATGGTAGCTGAGGTAAACAACACTTCTGAATAATTATATCTAATATATCAGCTGGGACGTGTTCTGAACCAGTCGGATTTCATGATGGCTATCCATGCCTTGATTATATCCTATCGTGACTATCCCCGTATACTTAATGTGGGCCTACCTCTGAAAAATATCCAGAAATTGCATTAGGAGCAAAATAATCTGACAACTAGGCTTTTTTTGGCTCAAGCATTATATGATACCTATATATAAAATATCTGCAGAGAGCCAGTTGTTTGTTACTTGGCACAAGTAATATTGGAACAATAAAGTAACATTGGGAGGGACCTTGGAGATCTTCTAATCCAACCCCCCAAAGTGTTGGCACTGATCCCCCTAATCCTAAAGATTTTAGGATCTCACTATCTGAAGGACTGCTCTTCTGAAGATGACCTTTAAAAGGCCATTTTTTGTGACATGTAGAATTGGACCTCCCTTCTGTGTTGTTCCCACATTATACAGTGTATTTCCTTGGGAATAATACTTGGCCTCAACTCTTTCAGCATTTCAAAAATTAATTGTTCAGTGGTTTAAGTGCACATGCTAGGGTTAATTTTAATAAATGTTTTTAATATTGGGCAATTTTTCTTTTAAGACACTTTGCTTCTCACCCAAGAAGCTTCTTCAGCTCTGAGTGTATAGTGGGGAATTCCCACTATATAGTGGGATGAGAAGCGAAACATCTTCAAAGAAAAACCAGAAAGTCCAGTTGCCTCTTGAAAAAGCACCTTTAAGACAGCCATGATCTGGATGATTGAGAATCTCCATAGACACTTGAGCAATCTGATATTTTGAGGTGGAGGCATTAATTTTGAAAGCTGCCTTTGAGTACTTAACTAGAGTAGAAATGGGGAGGTAAATAAAATACATAAAGGTATAATTTTAAAATGTATTATTGTAAAAAATTAATATCTACTTGGTTAATAGCCATGTTAACAGATTTTATTTTATTTCATTTTGTTTTTATCCTGGCCCATAATCCTCTCAGTGTCCTGAGTTCTAACAGGCAAGATTGAAAGACTGAGCTTGCCTTTTACAGGACAAAATTGGAGATGCTATTTCTTATCAAAGTACTTTCAGGTCCCATGGAAATCACTTATCGTCCTACAACCAATTAAATGAGTTTCTAAAGTTGATTTTTGGTTAAAATATTTAGACATTCTACACTACAAAAACCATACTATTCTCTTGAGAGAGTAAAAAGTTTTATGTAACTGAGATACACTTGAAGTAAAATGGATTTAAAGTAAAAGTGTTTATTTTATTTTATTTTTTTTTAAAAAAGAATTAAATGACTTGCTCAAAGTCCTCCAGTGCTGGTACTCAGAAGTTACAGCTGCCATTGGATATCACTGAAATTTTTTCTTTGACTTTCTCTAGAAATAATAGTTTGTTCCTCATTCAAAGACGTACTGAAGTGCTTGTTTGATCTGCCTTCGAATCTGCAATAATATCTGGGGGAGGCTTATATAACACATATGATATGATAGTAAAAATTAGAGAAACTGCTTTGGAACATGCACCTGCAAAAATAAATTAAACAAAAAATAAATTAAACATTGCTGTTAATTTATCTTCTTGCTTTAAGAGGGAAAAAAACACAACCTTCTAAGCTGCCATTATACCAATAGATTTTATATGTCTCCTTATCACATGACAATAGGTTGGACCTGCACTGCTTAAAAATCTGAAGAAACAAGGCTTGCAAATTACATAGGAGTTCCCAGCTCCGATCTCTGCCAATTAACACTTTTCTTTGATTAAAACTGCCAATCCATTGGCAGTTTTATGTGTGTTTGATCCATTCAGCCTGTAATTAATTAATATTAAATTGTTTCAATATAAATTTCAAATAATTATGGTTATGGCCTTGAATTGGTTCAGTTAGACAACTTACGAGGTGATCTCTACTATAGGTAGCTCTCAACTTATGACCATAATGGAGCCTCCCATTGCAGTCATAAGTAATTGCAGTCATTAAGTAATATGCCCACATGATTGCCTTGCTCAATGATCACTACTGTGGCTCTCCAAAGTGCTGTCATTAAGTGACTCTGCAGGTCATTAAATGAATGGAGCAAAAGATATGCCTACCAAAAGAAGGCAGGAAACTCTGTTCTATGCACAGAAGGAAATTACTTCTCCTCTCCATGCATGGTTGGCTAGGGAATTCTGGGAGTTGAAATCCACCTATTTTAATGTTGCCAATGTTGAGAAACACTGTTTTAGACATTGAAGATCAGAAAAGATTGACTCTTTTAACAAATATTTTGTTTATATACCAAACCAAAGAAATGAGAGAATAAAGTAAATTATAAAAGTGTAAGCTGATCCTTTCAGCATATTTTCATCATTTTTAAGGAAAACAAAGATACTTACTTATACCAAACAGCAAATATGCCATTTTGGTGTTGTTATAGGTCCAACATGCTCCTTTACGTCCACATCTATCTACAGACCAGAGAGTGCAAGAATTGTCTATTGAGATACCAAAAAGGATCGGGCCAGGAATAGTGCCTGCAAAAGATGGAGTGATACAAAATTATAACAAGATACCAGCTACAGATGACTGAAACTATAAAATAGAAAATAAAGATCTAGAGAGATTTATAAATGTAAAAGTGCAAATGATCTCAACAAGAAACCCCTTGCTAAAGTTGTAGACAAATCATTTATGCATAAATACATATAAAATCTATTGGTATAATGGCAATAAATTTATTTTTGCATAAATTTTTAAATGCCTTAAAGTTAGCCATTTTTAGTTCTCCCGCCTACCCCAAGGGTTTCATAAGAGCTAAACCAGGAGTGTCAAACTCAATTACATTGAGGGCCGCATCAGGGTTGTGTTTGACCTCAGGGGGCCGGAGTGGCATGGCCAGGGTGGGCATGGCCAGCTCAACGTCACTCCTGTTGGGGGCACCTGTGGTGGCCTGAAAACACTGCCAGGGAAAGCAAACTCCTGAGCTCCGTTTTCGGCTGCCATGGCCACCTGCAACCCTCTGCCAGTGAAAATTGAGCTAGGGAGGGCTGCACATGAATTCCATTTTCACTGGCAGAGAGTTGCAGGAGGCTGTGGCAGCCAAAAATGGAACTCGGGAGCCTGTGTTGAGTGGCAGTAGCACCATGGGTCAATCCCAGGGGTAAAATGCTCCCGGTTCGGACCAGATCACTCGATCCGGTAGCAATGGAGGTGGGTGGTTCGGAGAACCGGTAGCAAAAATCCCTCCCCCCCCCCAATGCCCAGCTGAGCCGCACAACCATCAGAGACTTTTTTTTTTACTTTTAAAAGCATTTTTCCTACAACCTCTTCAGCCAAAAAATACTTTTAAAAGTAAAAAAAAAAAAGCCTCTGATGATCGTGTGGCTCAGCTGGGATCATCAAAGGCTTTTAAAAGAAAAAAAACCCATTTTTTCTTTGGATTCTGGCGATCCAAGCTGAGTTGCCTGATCTGCAGAGGTTTTTTAAAAAGCCTCTGCTGATCAGGCAACACAGCTTGGATTGTCAGAGCTTTTTGAAAGCATTTTTTTACAACCTCTTCATCGAAGAGGCTGTAGAAAAAATGCTTTTAAAAGTAAAACAAAAAACAAAAATTGGCCACGCCCACCCAGTCACATTACCCACCACCACCAAGTCATGCCCACAGAACCGGTAGTAACAAATTTTAGATTTCACCACTGATCGATCCTTCACTGTTTCCAGGGCAGCCCCGCAGGCCAGGTCCAAATACCCCACGGGCCTTGAGTTTTACACCCTTGAACTAAACTATACCTCAAAAATCTTCAAAGTGTCTAAAATATTTAAGATGTTGGCAATCTCATTCCTAAGTTTTGCAAAGTCTCATCAACAAACAATAACATTTCATGTGGTCTCACATAAAATTGTCTACATTGCAAGTAAGGTGATTTTGTGGTCTCTTCGACATCTCTTTATAGTTTTAAATCTCATTATTAGGGGGTGGGTCTAGGCATTAGTTAGGAATGAATGAATCCTTGATGCTTCCTTAACCACTGATGTTCCTCAGGAACTACCTATACCAGTGATGGTGAATCTATGGCATGCGTGCCAGAAGTGGCATGCAGAGCCATCTCTCCAGGCACACTAGCCATTGCCTGTTGCTCTTCCGGTTTCCGGCACTCCCCCATGCACTCGCGTACTCCCATTTCAGCACTCGGTGCAGAAAAAGGTTTGCCAACACTGACCTATACAGTTTTTCTGATACACAGTCTCTTTTTATGGAAAGCATAAATTGCTTTCTTCCTGAATTGTGAAATATGTTTTCCTGGCTGCAGTTTGTTTCATAAAAGCTATGTAACTACCAGTGATTGCTTACTTGACCTTTTAACCCTATTCAGAAAATAGATCAGCTTCCTTTTAGAAAATACTATCTTTTTCAGTTAGGTCAAGACCTAGAATCTGTTCTCCTGTTTAACTTCCTCTTCTTCTTCAAGAAAATGCAGCAGAAATGATGCCAGAAATTTCTTGCTGCCTTTGTGCATAGTTTCACTTGGCCCAGTTTTTTGGCCAAGAGAGAAGCTAACACAGCAACATGATTTTATGGAGATTAGAGAAAGCTATACAGGCTTTTGTGACTTGCTTTGGAGAAGAAGAGGATGTGACTAAGAATGCTACTTACAAACTCAGGTCTTTGAAAATAAAGAATGTATGCTATAGAATTATAACATATTGTAGTAAAACCGTATTGTATAGTTTGACATTTTCTTATAAGGAGCAAAATGAGAAGGATAATATATTTTGGGGATGAGAAAAAAAAACTATCTTCCTGTTTTTAGCAGCTTCGTATAAAGCTGGAAAAAATGGAAATTTAGGCTAAAAGTTTTCAATGAAGGATTTTCAGTCAAATATATGATGGTCAAAGCAACCAGCAAGGGATGGATTTCCAATAATAATAGTGAAAACTGGAATAGTTCTCTCTCTACTATAATCCTCATAGTACTTAATAGATCAAAACAATGGCAATATTGTAATAAACTATTATTCATGTGTACTTTGAAGGAAAAAAAAGTCAACAGGAAGGACTCTCAGATTTTTGGTCAAATTTGATCTGCCACTTAAATCAGGGGTGGACTTCAAAAATTTTAGCAAGGGGTTCTCTGCCCGGTTGCTGGGTGGGTGTGGCCATGGTGGGCATGGCCTAGTCAGCCTCCTACATCATGGTGGGGGGGGCATTTTTGTTCTCCCCAGGCTCCGGAGGCCCTCTGGAGGCTGGAAACGGGCCCGTTTCTGGCCTTCCCGAACTTCCCGAACTTCCGGTAGGCCCATTTTTTCCTGTGCACCCCCTGCACTTACCTGCATCCAAAATAGGGCATGTGGGGACTCCTGAGAGGGGAGGGGAGGGGTGGGCAGGCCAAGCCAGGAGTGGGATTTGGGGGTGTTCCTACACTACACAGAATCTTAGCAAGAGGTTCTCCCAAACCCCTGCGAACCCCCAGCAACCCACCCCTGCCTTAAATCTATAGTTCTTAGACTGACATTATTCCTACCATGAAAGCTCTTTTGTCAAGCTTTAAACTTACCTAAAAGTCGTAGAAAGAGCATATGAACACCCAAAGCAAACGATCTGTGATTTTCTGGCACACATCTGTAAATCAAAGTTGGTTTACCATTTAATATGATATATGCCATCTTTCAACAGATACTATGATATGATTGCTATTGTTTTAACTATGCAATGTATTTCTTGAAAATGCAAGATTAAAACAGAAGACAAAACTAATACTATAAGTTATTAAAAATGTAGATAGTGATTCAAGAAAATGTTAACATAGCGACTTTCCAGTCATTTTTCTTCTGATCATTGTCATTTTTAAATCAAATTTCTATTTACTTCTTCATCCTTAAAAATGAAAAATGCTTTTTAAAAAACAATAAACAATTTTCATACTACACAAGAGTTCTATAACACAACACATGGACACAGACACCAAGGGATATATGAATAGGGCCAGAAGAAATGGTAGAATAAAAGTTAGAAATAACAAAATTGACAAAATGTGCACCATGAGGTATATCATGACACAAACTTTATCCATAAGATTCTGTAATACAATTATAAAAGAGTAGGGCAGGATTTATAACAATACAACATATATTGTTTTGCCATCACTGTGGTAAGAAATGGATGTGTTCTCTGAGGTACTTTTGACTATTTAGGCTGCCAGCATGAACTCTATGCAGAAATTCATCATTGTACTTGTTCAACCAATTATTGTTGAACATATCTATGTAATAAGAAAGAAGAAAACCAGTGCATCTACTCTATTTCAAAATCTCCATCTCAATAGATTAAAAGAAAAACCATCTTCAGGGGAAATATCACCATAGAGACATTATGCAAGACTATTATCCTGATGGTTAGAACAGTTAATCAGTGTAATGACTTGCCTCTAAAAGTTGTGGGTGCTCTCCAACGCTGGAAGTGTTTAAGAAGAGGACCGACAACCATTTGTCTGAAATGGTATAGAAATTCCTGCTTGAGCAGGAGGTGGGGCTAGGAGACCTCCAAGGTCCCTTCCAACTCTTGTTATTTTATTATTCTTTTTGGTTACATTTTAATTCTTAGCTGTAGTTAGAAATTAGTATTCTGTTTGAATATATTCAGCTCAATATTTCAAACAGCTGGACATCCCAGTACTTTTGTGGGGGATCTACTGCTGATCTTTGCATTCTTGAACACTTTCTTCAGCACTGGGTTGTCAATTTAATTTCCCAGAATGCCCTAGTACCTGGAATCAGACTCAGGTTTTCTCGTTTGCATATTATGGAAATAATTTCTTCACTGTATAAATAGTTTGGTGTGTTTGCAAAGGGATGGTGGAAGAAACAAGTTTATGTTTTGTTTTTTTAAAAAAAGAATTCCTATACTGTATTGCATTTTACAAAATTTAAAAAAGATAAAAGCAGCATTATAACTACCTGAGAATGGCCACAGTTGTTGGTGTAACTGCCATAAAAGTAAAAACAACTGCAAAAAAGAAGAAGCTAAGGAACCAAGGCAGGACTGTGCACTTAGATTTACATTTTCCAGAAGTGGCCCCATGGAAGGTATTCTCAATTTCAAATATGGGATTCCCAACACAGGAACAATTGCTGTAGTGCTATAAATAGTGCATTCAAAAATACAGAAAAATAAAATAAGTAACTAATTTGTCCAAAATTAATTGAAAATTCATTCAACAGCAAAATAAATCGATTTCAAAGTGTTACAGATATACACAGACAACATATAGCAAGATTGAATAACTAACTATTCAGCCAGTTGTAAAATATAAATTGTTCTTGTAGCAAGAGAGTTCTATTTCTAAAAGTAATTGTGGAACATTTGGTGATCATGGATCTACCTTCATATCAAAATATATGTTCAGCCAGTTCAGTGGCCCTTAAATAAACAAATTGCGCCACATCTAAATTCTAGGTATGATATCCATTTCTGTATGTGGATCTTTTCTTTAAAATCCAAATAGCTGTTCTTCTGTTGTCCACTTTGCAATTACGTCAACAGAGAATATTAAGAATACATTAAATTCCTGGTATTTTCTGAGCTTGGTTGCAGATGTTTGGTTACCAAGCTACAGGAAAACAACCAAATTTAGATCAAGAAGCCAATAGTTCAACACTGAGTCACATATTATTCTCTGCTAAACTGAAATAAAATGTTGCAGCTCCTAATATAATTGCTCTTATTCATTGTTTAGTCTAGCTAGTCATGCCATCACTGAAGATAGATATTTCATTTGTCTACCTATGCCCAGTGGTGAAATCTAAAATTTTTTACTACCGGTTCTGTGGGCATGGCTTGGTGGTGGGGGTAATGTGACTGGGTGGGCATGGCCAATTTTATTTTTACTTTTAAAACCATTTTTACATGTAAAACCATGTAAAAAATGCTTTCAAAAGGCTCTGACGATCCCAGCTGAGTTGCCTGATCGTCAGAGGGTTTTTTAAAAACCCTCTGCCGATCAGGCAACTCAGCTGGGATCGTCAGAGCTTGGATTGTCAGAGCCATTTAAAAGAAAAAACTTTTTTTCTTTTAAATGGCTCTGACGATCCCAGCTGAGTTGCCTGATTGGCAGGCAACTCAGCTGGGATCGTCAGAGCTTGGATCATCAGAGCCATTTAAAAGAAAAAAACTTTTTTTTCCTTCAAATGGCTCTGACGATCCAAGCTGAGTTGCCTGATCAGCAGGCAACTCAGCTGGGATCGTCAGAGCTTGGCTCATCAGAGCTTGGCTCGTCAGAGACATTTAAAAGAAAAAAAGCCTCTGATGATCGTGCGGCTCAGCTGAGCATGGGGGGCGGGGGCAGGGATTTTTGCTACCGGTTTTCTGAACTGCCCGCCGCCATCGCTACCTACTCGCCCGAGCCGGTCCGAACTGGGAGCATTTCACCCCTGCCTATGCCCCCTTGTTACTGTCTGGATTTCTTGTCTGCTTTATTTTCCCATGTAGTCCAACTTAGCTACTGACTTGCTCAAACATCAATGGTTTGCTAATGATACTGTTTTGATAATGATAACAATTTGGTTTATTTTTCAAAGCACCAGAAGGCAAGACAAGAAACAAAGGATGGGAACTAATCAAGGAGAGAAACAACCTGGAATTAAGGAGAAACTTCCTAAAAGTGAGGACAATTAACCAGTGGACAGCTTCCTACCAGAAGTTGTGGGTGCTTCATCACTGGAGGTTTTAAAGAAGAGACTGGACAGTCACTTGTTTGAAACGGTATAGGTTCTCCTATACCAAAGTCCCTTCCAGCTCTATTCTGATTGATACATTTAAACAAGGAACATGGCTAAATCATTTTTAACATTGGGAATTTAGATTTGATGTAGAGTGAGCATCCTCTTTCATAACATAAAGTGGCCTTACCTTTGTTCCATGCTTCTGAGGAACAACAGCAGTACATCCTGCATAACATGGAGAAAAATACTGGACTTCATCTGCACCACAGATGGGCAAAAAGTCTGAACGCAAACATCTACAATGGGCATTGCAGGGTGCTGTTAAGTTTAATAATGTACCTGTCCTGAAACAGAGAAATAATATATAGATGAAATGAAAACACTTTCCATAATAGCGTATTGTCATTCATTAATAACAATGAACAATTGGAGCTAAATATTTCTAAAGTCACTGCAATGTGCATGCGAGGATTTTTTAAAAAATTATATTCTTCATTTCATAAAGAAATGGGAGACTACTGAAGTTCATGGAGATAATTTCTAGGTAGCCCTTGACTTATGATGGCAATTGAGACTGGAATTTTTATTGATAAGCAATGTGGTCATAAAACATAATGTCACATGACCACACTACTTAACAATGACAATACCTACAGTCCATCTTGTCATTGTTAAGTGAGGATCATGAATCATTAAGTGAGCATCTCTCACAATTTCCTACTGGCTTCCAACAAGCAAACTCAGTGGAGAAGCCACCAGGAAGTTGCAAGTCTCAGGCAGTTAGCAAAGCAGGCCAGCAAGCAGCTGGTGGCTGCTGCAAGATGGGGGCAAGAGGATGAATTGGTGGCTGGGAAGGTGTGGCACGAGTGAGGCAGGGCTTGGGATAACTGCTGCTGGGTGGGAGACGGTATATAAGAAACTGCAAATAGCCAGAGAGGCCAAAATGAGCACAGGAACGCTCGCAAGAGGGGGGTAAGAGTATGTGGGTGGCAGGGGAGGCATGGCATGAACATAGTGGCGATTGGAGTGGCTGCTGCTGGGTGGAGGAGAGTGTGTGAAGGTGGACGTATGGCTGGGAAAGTTCGGATTGAGTGCAGCAAGATTCAGGGAGAGTGTGTGGATGTGGGAGACATACCTGAGCACTTGCAACCCTTCCTTTTCCAATAGGAAAGCCAGCAGGGAAGGTCACAAATGGTGATCATATGATCACTGCAACTGTCATAAGTACAAATCAGTTGCCAAGTGCCCAGATTGTGATCACATGACTGTGGGTATATAGGTAGTCCTTGGATTACAACAGTTCATTTAGTGACCATTCAAAGTTACGACAGCACTGAAAAAAGTGACTTGGGACAATTTTTCATACTTACGACCATTTCAACATTGCCAAAACTCAGATGCTTGGCAACTGGCTATTATTTATGAGGGTTGCAGTGTCCCAATGATTACCTTTTCTAATCTTCAGACAAGCAAGTCAATGGGGAAGCCAGATTCACTTAGCAACCATGTTACTAAGTTAACAATGGCAGTGATTCAATTTAACATCTGTGGCAAGAAAGGTCGTGAAATGGAGCAAAATTCACTTAACAAATGTTTTGCTTAGCAACATAAAATTTTGGGCTCGATTTTGGACTACTGGTATTGGGACAGCTTTTAACTCCCACCTGTTCAGCTTTGAATGGATGCTGAAGGAGGGATTGTTAACTGAGCACTACCTGCAGTGTCATTGGGAGAATGAATGTGGACTAATTTACAAAACAAGCATGTGAATGAAAACTGAATTGATTCACAAAAACAATAAGCTCTGATGATGTATAATGAATAGTTGTAGTTGTTTTATTTGTCTTATGTCTTCTACTTTTTCTTATTTGTTTTCTATGCTTTGCATGATACCACTTTTCTCATAAAGACAATGTGATGGAAATATATCCATCACATAAAATATAATACTGTTTTCATCAACATCAGTATGAACAATTTTGATTTTATGTTTATCTTATGTTATCTCTGAGATGTATAAAAATATAAAACATAAAATGAATTCTGAAGATTTGATTTAATTCACCATCTTGTGGCCCTTAAATATTTTAACATATACTTTTAATCATATACTTGCCCATTATATGTTTCAGAAACACCAGCAAATGGTTCATTCCCACATTTAGCAAATGCAAACACCATGTTTAATAGCAGCGCCAGCACACAAGTAGCAATAATAAACTTGATTATAGTTTTGCAATTCATTTGCAGCTTGGAAATTAAGGTACCACTTATGATTTGGCCAATTGCTGCTCCTGGGATTAAGACAAGTCCTAAAAAGAAAATAAAGGAAAACAGTTATCAAAGTAATAATTTCACTTAAAATAAAACAATACTACTAAATTCACTACTAAAAAGATAACTAAACACAGTTATATTATCGTTATAGTAAACAGTCATTCTTTTACTTTTCTCTTCTTTGCATGTTTTATTTTTTATGAATTATGACTAAAACAGAAATAGGTTTGGAATGCTAATCTGTGGAAAAAATACATTTTCCTGCAGTTACTACAGTTACTTATATCGCTGTGTCACACAAACAAGCTTAGCATATCTATATGACTGAGTCAATTACCCCAATTTCAAGATTTATATGACACACTCAGTGGTGGGCTGCTACCGGTTCGAACCAGTTTGGTTAAACCAATAGTTACGACAGTGGCTGGGCCTACCCAGCCACCCTGGCACTATCATGTCCTGTATAATCGTTGGTTTTTTGATGCCGCACACATGCGTGGAAGGTCACATTTTTCATACACATGCACAGAAGGTTGCATGAGTGCGCTCTCACATTTTCAATTCTGAGCAAACTGGTTGTTACAGTATGTGACGCCCATCCCCTTCACTTCATATAATGATGCCAGTTCACTTAACTGGTTGTGTCACGGGATTACACATGTGTAAATCAGCTTTCAGACATAAAATGCCCAAGATTGTACAACTCTGGTCCTCTGTGATCACATCTGTATTTCTTCCATGACTGGCATGTTCTCTTACTCAGTAGCATGTTCCTGATTTTAAGTACAAGAAAGCAGGTGGAAAGAGCAGCTGGAGGCAGTTCCAGGCTCCTTACTTTCCATTCAAGATGGCATCCCAGTAAACCAATTATTAATCAAGGGTCTCAAACAATGTGACTTTGACTATTACACCAGAAAGAAAGACAAATGGTTCTTCCTGCAATGTCACCTAAGGCCCCTCCATTCCCTGGAGCCATCTTTCAAACAGGCATCACAATCAGGAAGGTTCAAGAGCCAGAAAGAATCTGACTGCCTGCATGGAGCACCAACTCTTCTTCCCAATGAAGTGGTAGATTCTCAAATTATAAGTATCCATTTTAAGTGAGATTTCTTTCTTTGTGGGAAACCAATCCAAGTAGAAGCCACAATATACAATATATTGCATGCTAAGAGACATTACCTTTCTATCTGCTGCCTCATATATAGATTTGAGTTTTATGGGGACGATCTGCTGAACAGTTTCTGACACTTTTTTTTTTTAGAAACTGCATCTTTTTCTCAATTTGATTACCATAAATGGAAAGGCAAGCTTGGAAATAAATATTTAAACTAATTAGGAAAATCCTGTTATAACCATAAAGCAAAAACCAATTCTGAAATTGTTAGGACCTACTTGAAACATTTTATCAACTGAGGATCCAGGCTTCCTACACTCCCTACCCTGAGTCCGGAATGGGACAACTTGCCATAACTAACTCATTGCCACCAATTCACCATGGCTAGCTTGCCATGGTCAACTCGCTGAAGCACAACTTGCTGGTGGACAATTTAACAATTCTATTTAATTATTTAAAATAAATAAAAAAAATATTTTAATTTTTTGCTATTCACATTTCATTCTGTCCCTCTTTTTGCATCCTTTCTTCAATGATTCTATTCCACTATTTCTTTGATATTAGTGTAACTCTTCTCTTGCAGCGAGTTGGCCATGGTGAATTGGCCGTGAATTGTCATAGACACACACACCCGAATCAGTGCCCCTCAAGGGATAAATAACCTGAAGAACATTAAATATTGCTTGGATTCCCAAATTATTCTGAATTTATCAAAGAAAAAAAATTACCAGATATAAAATTCACAGAATTCAATAGGATATTTTCTAGTAAAACTCTTAAAACCCTAGTCTGTCTTTCCATTGTTTAGTTTTCTTTTTTTCCAAGTATTAAATCCCATCATTAACAAAATTAAAAGGGTGTTTGTGTAGAATGAATCAAATACATTACCTCCTAAAGTAGCTGAATAGCTAGATGTAAATCCAAACTGATTTTCTATAAATTTGGGTAAGAAAGTTGCAAAACCAGTAGCGATTAAAGCTTCTAATGCAGCTGCTATTACAAGATACATCAATACGGGATTCCTCAGCAGCATCTAGAAACGGAAGTTTAGTTAAGTTCTTAAATCAATGTTACGTTACATATATAGCAGGGGTGAAATGTAAAATTTGCTACTACCGGTTCTATGGGCGTGGTTTGGTGGTGGTGGGGTAATGTGATTGGATGGGTGTGGCCAACTTTTTTTATTTTTTTATTTTTCAAAGCATTTTTTCTAATGTTTTGAAAAGCCTCTGCCTGGGATTGTGAGAGAGGCTTTTTAAAAAATACCTCTCTGCTGATCAGGCAACTCAACTGGGATCATCAGAGACTTTTCAAAGCATTTTTTTTACCACCTCTTTGGCCAAGAGGTTGCAGAAAAAAATGCTTTGAAAAGCCTCTGACTATCCCAGCTGAGGCTTTTTTTTTACTTTTAAAAGCATTTTTTCGTCAGAAGAGGTTGTAGAAAAAATGCTTTTATAAGTAAAAAAAAAAAGCCTCTGATGATTGTGTGGCTCAGCTGGGCATGGTGGGGGGGGGGGCGCAGGGATTTTTGCTACTGGTTCTCCGAACCACGTGCTGCCATCGCTACCGGATCAGGCGATCCGGTCCGAACCGGGAGCATTTCACCCCTGATACATAGTGCCTGTTTAGATTATTCCACAAAGAAATTGATTTATTTTTTCAGAATAAATTTTCATTATAACATCAGTTTTGCTATTCAATCTATCATTTTAAAACTGTTAGAAAAGTTTATTCCCTTCTCCATCTCTTCAATGAAAAACAAGAGCACATTAAGAAGAAAAACATGTTCTTAGTGGACTATTTGGCCAGAAAGGCTCCAGGTCTACTTATTATAATGCTGATTAATCCAATTATTTGAATCTATATCCTGAGTTTCAGCTAGTCAAATTCGGTTTGAGATTTGGAATTCATTTAAATCATTCTAGAACTAATATTTATCCCATTTTCATATGACTACCTTGGATATATTTATGAATAAACTTTAGAAACATTCTGTTCTTTTAAAGAACAGAGATAAAGATATCAAGATACAAATGAATAATGCCTAATCTTGGCTTTTGCACAAATTAGCAAAGGGTGGCCAAACAGAGGTAGAAAAGACAGTGTTTCTGAAACATGGCAGTTTAGCCAGAGTTTTTCTTAGCATCCATGACAATAATCCCACACAAATTTATACACATACATTTATACAAAGAATTGCATTAGTTCAATATTTTTATCTTCTTTCTTCCTTTTCTATTTGGTTTTAAAAATCCAGCAAGTTGTGGGCCTTAGAGCTATCACAGTCTTGACAAATCTCTTAGAGTAGAGTCTCAACTGTTTCATCACAAAAGGTGATTACTTCAGAACTCAAATATTGAAATGTGTAGAAATCTGGTTCACAGGCCATAAACAAGTTGTCGGAGGTTTCTTTTTTATAAATATATGTTTTATAAATATAGTTTGGCTGGTTTGACACCACTGCATGCATGAAACAGAAAAACGTTGGTCATTTCCTCATCTAGGCACAGCGTATGGACTGAGCCAGGATATTAGATGGAGTTACCCCCTTGTAATAACTTAGTAAGATTAAGATATCATTGCCTGTTTTCTTGAACAGAAGCTTTTACTGGCACCAGTTGCAGTAAGAAATCATCATGAGGCACAATTATCCTTGTAATGATGAAAACAGCCAACGGCTATGATTTCTATCAAGGCTTGCAGGGGCATGGAAGGAAATGAGATGAAACTGTCAAACTCATCCCTTAGCTGGTACTTAATTTTAAAATCATTTAATTTAGTATCTAACCGGCCCTCAAGAAGTGGTGAAAACAAACATTATTAGCTACTGATGAGATGGCCATAAACTGGAACAGGCAATTAGAGCTGTTGATGTAATCTGCAAAGATATACTGGGTAATAAAAGTTATTATTCATGGTTAATACATTTATCCTTTTTATTATGCTTTTTACTTATCTTTTTTTCAAATAATGTGTCTTAGTGATCAAATATCCATTTAAAATCACAAGATAATTGAATTTTAGAGCTGCAAGAGGTCTTGGGGTGGCATTTAGTTCAGTCTTTTGCTTAAAGCACCATTTACAGTTCAGGAATCTTGCAACACACTATCCTTAACAGATGGTCTTTATTTAAATGCCTTACAACTTTCTGAGGTAATTTATTCCACTCCAACTAGATCTTCCCATTAGGAATGTGCACTAATGAAGAGCAACTGTATTCCCAATGCCAACTCCTCTGGCACTTGTCAGAAGCTTTGGCCTATGTTTTGGTTTGGTTTGAGATCTTTTTTTAAAAAAAAAATAAAAAATAAGAAATTATATCTGCAAGTAAACTCTCAGGTTCTAGCATCATTTTGATTTCCAAACAATACTTATCAACCTCGTATTGGCTCTATAGGCATACTTAGGAAATAAGAATGGATGACTGCAATACCTCAGTGTTTTGTTTGGAAGTGTGACTACTTCCCAGAAAAAAAAAAAAAACTATAAAGGTTTTGAATTGATAGAGTTTTATCTATGGGATGACAGATAATGGGGAGCAATCTCATCAGGTTTGTTTGTTTTGTAGTTAGTGAGTATTTTGTGATTGGACACATTTTTGTGGCAGCTGTTTTTATAGCACACATATGTTGTTGAAAATCCAAACATCTATCAGCTCAAAAGGCAGGGGTGTTGTGCTTAAGCCTTTCAAACAGAAGCAATCTGCACCACCCTCACCCATCAATAATCTGTCCAACAACAGACCTTGCAATTAGGCATTTCTTCTTAACACTTTGCCAAATCTGCTTCCCTATTAGTTCCATTCATTGGTTTTAGAGCTCACTTCTAGAATCATATAAAACAACTCTGTTCCATCTTCTCCATAAAAGGTCTTCAGACATTTGAAGATCATTGTCATGTTGTCCCTTAATCTTCTCTATTTAAGTTTCACCAATTCATCATAGATCTCATTGTTCTAATTGACAATCACTTTTGCCTAAACCTCAGTTACATATAAAACATGACCGTGGGCTTGAATTATATGCACATATATACAAAGCCACGATGAGACTTGAAGCAACTTAGGAGCAGCATGTTCATTTCCTTCTCAAAGCATCTTATACAAATTCTTCTTCCTCTTATTGTTCTTTGCCAATTAAAAATCAATATTCAAATAAGTGATAGTAGCACAGGTGAGGAAATCTACACTACTGAAATTGATGTTTGAATCTGACTTTAATCATTTATTGCTTTGAATGTAAAGTACTGCCTTATCTAACCATTTCAAACATTGAATAATGCTATTACCCTTGTTGCATTCTGTTAATGAGGCCTTGCAAGTATTATTGACACAATGACTCCCAAATGTGGCCAGATTCAAATTAACTACAGATATTGATTTAAATGTGTGGCTTTTGTTACCCAGAGAATCATAAGAAAGTCCTTAATACTCCTCCCAGTATATTCACACATCTGTTTTCCACTATGATGTGCTTCAGAAATCTTCTCTGCTCGTATTTTGCTTGTACCTAGAAAAAGAAATAATTTACTTTCGACAAAAGGCAATTGTAATTGCAAGAAGTACATACATTTTGTGGAAATCAGCTGTAATTTTAAATGTTTAGTCAAGTAACTTTAATAAGTCTGTCTGCTTGGACACAAATCTGTAAAAATCAAAGCCTCTCTAGGAGTCTCTGGAGGCTGGGAAAAGCAAAAAAAAGTCACTTTCTGTCCCACCAGGAGTTGGGAAATGGGCTGTTTCAGGCCTCCAAGGGAATGGGGAAGGCTGTTTTTGTCCTCCCCAGATGCATAGAGAGGATCTGGAGCCAGGTGAGAAAGAAAAATGGGCCTTCCCTACCCCCCCAGGCCCTCCAGAGGCAGGAAACAGCTTGTTTCCCTACTTCTGGTGGGCTCAGAAGGCCCAAAAATCAGCTGGCTGGCACACGCATGCACACCAGAGATAAGCTGGCGTGCCCACTGATATGGCTACGTGTGCCACCTGTGGCACACATGCCATAGGTTCGCTATCACGGCCATAAGTCATTGAGTTATAATAGCATTATTCCTACCAGCTGTAATGAAGTAGGATTGGCTAATATCCAAAAATGGATTGAGTCTCCCTCTCCCTGTTCAACCGGTTTTGTCTACTGAAAAGTAGAAATGGGGATTTCGAAACAAAGCTTTGCCTTAAAGAACTTTGATTTTGTACCACAGGAAAATTCTGTCTTAGCTCAGGACATCATGAAGGGACTTCTCGGATCTTTTTGAAAGATTGATTCTTGTAATTTATTTTTTCAAACATTGGTTAAATAATAAGATATATAAAAAAGGATCTTCTTATCAAAGATTGAAAAACTACCAAGTTTTTCCTTATATATCCTTATTTTTATTGCTATTGAATACATATGTTGTCTTAGAAATAAGTGTCTGGATTTCATTTGTCTACATCCAACTGATCAATGTGCTTCTCTTAGTAATTGTCTTGTCTTCTCTCTCTCTCTCTCTCACTCTCTCTCTCTCTCTCTCTCTCTCTCTCTCTCTCTCTCTTTAGAGTAGGCCTTATTACTTTGTACCCAATGCTCCTCATACAATTACACTACTGCAGTAAGAATAATTTAAAACTGTGATGAGCTATATGAAAGTTGCAAATTCCAGAATATTTATTACACTACAATCCATTCATTCATTTTGTATTGTTTTACACTATAACTTTAGGAATCCCAACAACTTATCTAAGGCTCAATATGTTTAATATTATGCTAATTACTTATTTTAGAATACTTATTTACCTGGCAAATGCTTTGGGAAATATGAAAATGGTGCTACTAAAAGGCATGTAGAGAAGCTGCATATCACAAAGGCTATCCACCATGCTCCAACCCAGCGGGGATCTTCTGGAGTGAGGTCTACACTAGAATAATATTATTTAGTGAACACATATTTAACGAAGGTATTATGAATTAAATAACAATACTTTTTGCAAAGCTATTCTATATGATAAAACATACATTGTAGTTTATTTATTACAACTGTCCTGCCTTCTTCTCACATTTATGCAGTTGTACAAAAAAGAAATTAGTGCTGTTTTACTAAATGGAAAGTATTTCAGGTAATAATGAGTTCAATCAAGTATTATTGTTCAAGACTACAGAAAGCTTGAAGGAGTTTTTTGCTTCAAGGAAGATTCAAAAGTAGCACCACTTTATAAGTTTTGCATAGTAATATGAGCACAATACTTATAAGGTAAAGCAAAAAAAAAGAAAAGAAAAGAACAGCACTTTTTCTCTTTTTTTTCCTCCTCAGAGCTCAAGATACAAGAAAACGCTCTGAGAAATTTTCACTGCTGACTGAAGTGCTTTCAGAATGCGTAGCTTCACCACAAGTAGTGGGATTGACTACAGTGTACCCTGAAGCTGCCCAGTCTGGATCTACCTTAACATGTGTGAAAGGTCTTCCTTTCCCAACCTAGAAAGGTTCTTAGTCAACACAGGAGAAAAGAAGGCTAAGAGAATCCTTCTTCCACAGCAGAGGCCCAAAGAAGCGTCAAGCAACCAGACTGCTTCATGAAGTAAATTGGTTGGCCTTTGACAGCATAAATGGCTTCATGTATATCTCTTCACATAGACCTCTTCTAAAGATAAAACAATCAAAATCTACATCTAGCAAATTGACTAAAAATTGCTCATTATTCATGGCTGCTCAAGTTTCCCAAATATAAATCAGTGTTTGGTTATTAAAAACAACCCCCCTCTCCCCCACAAAAAAACAAAAAAAACAAAAACCCCTACCAACCAAACCCATTAAAATTATTATCGGTAACTAAAATATATGTATTTCTGTATGAACTATTAGAATAAGGCTTTTCAAAATGATGTCTTACTATTAAGAAAAAATGTACATTCTTAGTTATGTAGATGAAAAAACAAAATGTCCTTGCCTTATATTACGATTGAAATCAACATAGACATTCAGCAATTGTCCTCCTAAAACATAGCCAATGGCAGGACCCAGCAGTGACATGGCATATCCAATTCCTGCAGGGAAGATAATAGTTTGTATTTTGGATATTGAGCACAAAAATGCATGTTGGATTCCATATCCACTGTATAAATGTGTAAGGTGATATAAGACTGAGAATGTTAAGTTCATGCATCCTGAGTAGGTTACCATAGGCAAGACACTATTTAGAATGAGAGGAGGATGGCCCAGCTTCCACATGGTTCTTCCCAGTATACCATCCCATTTAAAATGCATTAAACATACAGATAAAGACAAATGATGCAACTTATTTTCAAGACACAGAATCTTCATCACATAAATGTAATTATGGTAAATGCCAGACATTGGGTTCAACCTTACCCTAGTCTTAACCCTGTTATAGGAAGTTGGACTAGAAGACCTCCAAGGCATTTTCCAACTCTATTATTCTCTATTCTGTAGTCAATAGAAAAATATTTGGAGGTTGTAAGGTGGGATATAAATATCTCAGATTTAATCTACCCATCAATTCCTATTGAATCATCAGGGGAATGCTTTTCCATTTACCAATTGTGTCATGAGCTCATGTTGACAGCTGATCCTCATCTGAAGGCTTATTCCAAAAGGGCCAAATGCTTCTCAGAGGAAAGAGATGATTTAGAATAATGAACTTCTTTCAGATTCTGTGCACCCTTTGCCAGAAGGAGATAAAAATGCAGAAAGACTTTAGGCAGTTCACTGCTGAAGAGGAATCTCCAAGAATGCACAACATTCTTAATGAAGAAGAATGATCTTTTCAACGCTTCCAACTTCCTTTAGACTTGAAGGCAGTAATTCAGAATTCAGAAGGGACTGAAACCTCCTTCTCTTTCACAATTTTTGCCACCTTTTCTGGACTGCCTTAATGGACCATCAGAGATTTTTTTTCTGCTGCATGGGGAATTCTCCACGGGTCTCCATTAATGAATGATGGGTCTAGTTGTCACAGTTGACACATTTGTTATTCTTGCTGGTTATTCATTTGTAGTATTCACACGCTGTTATTCTGTGATTAAAATGATTATGAGACTGATTGTGGCTAGACAAGCGAAAGGGAAATCAAGGTTTCCCAGTATCTGATTCTTATCTACTGATTCACACAGATGAGAAGGAGCAATTGCAATGTGGCAAGGAATTCTTCCAGGCTCCCAAAATAGGATCTAAGTGCAACCCCGCTCACTAAAAAACAAAATTCTAATGCAGGTGTTCAGCTTGTGATTTGAAGTGGGTAAGCAGCATCCTCAAGCATGCCAGCTTTAATTCTTTGCATACAGGTAGTCCTCGACTTACAACAGTTCATTTAGTGACTTTTCAAAGTTACAACAGCACTGGCTAAAGTGACTTATGACCATTTTTCACACTTACAACCTGTGCAGCATCTCCATGCTCATGTGATCAAAATTCAGATGCTTGGCAACTGGTTCATACTTATGACCATTGCTATGCCCTGGGGTCATGTGATCACCTTTTACAGCCTTCTGACAAGCAAAATCAATGGGGAAGCCAGATTCACTTAACAACCCAGTTACTAACTTTTCAACTACAGTGATTCACTTAACAACTGTGGCAAGGAAGGTCGTAAAATGGGGCAAAACTCACTTAACAAATGTCTCACTTAATAACAGAAATTTGGAGCTCAATTGTGGATGTAAGTCGAGGACTACCTGTATTGAGCACATAAAGGTATGAAGTGGGAAGGTATGTATGGATGAATGTTCAAAACACTTAGATGAGCATTTGCTTGGGAAGTTCCCAATGTGGGTGGGTGCTGACTTTTAAGTGCATTCAGTATAACATACTTACAAGGCCCCTTCAGGTCTTTGTGCTGATCATGAAAAGGGCTGAAGCTCCCTTTCATGGGAACTGAGGCCTTAGAGATAAAGTCATCCTCCATATACCTGAAGATGAACATAGCCCTACTGTAAGCAACTGTAAAAACACATCCTGTATCCCAACCAACTAAAAAAACTTACAAGCAGTTAAATAAGCAAAGAGAAAATGCAAAAAGATATTACCAAACTTGCTAGATGCTCAAGGCAAATTTGGCGTTTCAAGAAATCAAAATGAATTATACCTACCTATGTAGACTGAAGCTTTGTGCTTTGGGACACTATCATCGATGAAAGTTGTGCCCAGTGTGTACAGAGGAGTTCCACCTGCTCCTAAGAGGAACTGACCCAGTAAGAAAACATAGAAGTAGTTGGAAAGTTTGGATTTGCTGCCTCGGCGGCACGGCGTCGTTTGACCTCCAGAAAGAGGTACTGGACAGATGTCTGGAAATACAGGAGCAATAAGTCAATGGAAGTTCTTTCTCTATCAGGAGAAACTGTCATATCTTTGCAATTGTTTGAAATAAGTCTACTGGGTCTAGTCCCGTCATGGCGAACCTATGGCATCATGCCCGAAGTGGCAAATGGAGCCATGTCACCTGGCATATGCGGCATCACCCGTTCCTCTGCCGGATTTCTGGCGTGCATGTGCGCGTGATGATCAGCTGGACTTCGTGCATACAGCACTGCCAGAAACTTGAAGAGCTGGTCTTCCATTTTCTTGTGTGATCCTGTGCGCCAGCCAGCTGATTGTCATAGATGCATGCATGCCAGAAACCCAGAAGACTAACTGGCCGGCACGCATGCTAGTGCCAGAAACGGAAGTTCATTTTCAGGTGCACGCATGTGCCCTGGGCAGCTCCTCCTCTGGGTTGTGACCCAGACGAGCACGCACATTCCTTTTTCAGCACTCAGTGCCGAAAAGGTTTGCCATCACTGGTCTACGTTGTAAAAATCTAGCTGCTAGCAACAAAGAGTTAGAGTTTTGTTATCTGTTTGCTGCCATCTAGTTCTATCCAGATTTTCCAGAGCAGTTATATAATCCACCATCAGAACAGTCATAAGATTTCAAAACTGCTCCAAAGTTTCAAAACTATATAGAACCATTTTTCAGACAATATGGGAAAAATCAACATATAAGTACATTTTCTGAGTAAGTCTTCTTTAATGTAAATACACTGGGATTTCAAGTCCCCCAATTCTCAGTTAGAATGCTTAATGACTGCTTGAGAAATTTGGGGAAGACTGGTCATCCCCGAAGAATGGAGTTTAGAAAATAGAAGCCAACTCACTGGAACTACTGAGAATGTAATTTAGCTCAGTGGTGAAATCTACAATTTGTATATACTGGTTCTGTGGGCGTGGCTTGGTGGGGGGGGAGGTAATGTGACTGGGTGGGCATGGCCATTTTTTAAAAACTTTTAAAACCATTTTTTCTACAAACTCTTCGGCGAAGAGGTTGTAAACAAATGCTTTCAAAAGGCTCTGAGGATCCCAGCTGAGTTGCCTGATCGGCAGAGGCTTTTTTTTCTTTTAAATGCCTCTGACGATCCAAGCTGAGTTGCCTGATCGGCAGAGACTTTTTTAAAAAGAGGCTTTTTAAAATGCCTCTGCCAATCAGGCAACTCAGCTTGGATCGTCAGAGGCATTTAAAAGAAAAAAAGCCTCTCCAATCAGGCAACTCAGCTGGGATCCTCAGAGGCTTTTAAAAGCATTTTTTCTACAACCTCTGAAGAGGTTATAGAAAAAATGCTTTTAAAAGCCTCTGAGGATCCCAGCTGAGCCGCGCGATCATCAGAGGCTTTTTCTTTTTTTACTTTTAAAAGCATTTTTTTGGCCAAAGAGGTTGTAGAAAAAATGCTTTAAAAAGTAAAATAAAAAGCCTCTGATGATTGTGCAGCTCAACTGGGTATGGGGGGGCGCAGGGATTTTTGCTACCGGTTCTCTGAACCACCCGCCTCCATCGCTACTGGATCAGGCGATCCGGTCCGAACCGGGAGCATTTCACCCCTGATTTAGCTATATTCTGTTTTTATACACTGTAACTTAGGTAGCTATGGTGTCTTTAAACATAATTCATTAATAAATCATAACTGACCAAATTCACTCAACCTGCTAAATTATAATCCATGATTTGCAAGCCACAATGATCATTTTAAATCAAAATCGATCAAAACACATTATAGCTTAACAATTCTTAAAAGAATAATGAGAGAAGATGGTGCACTATAAGAGATAAGAGAAGTAATTAAACATAGCAAAACTTTCTCTCGTTTTAAAAGAAGCATCCCAGTTAGGATCATACACCAACATTTCCTCTAATTCAACATCCCACCTCAGATTTCCTGAATTCTGTGTTTTCCAACTCTCTGCACTACTGAATGTGTACAGACTTAATATGAAGATTGTTTTATATTACTGTTGTCTGGTTGCTATACTGAAAATCTTGGGATTTTCTAAATGATGTTGATAATCCTTTGAGTTTTTCAGTTGTGCTTCGGTTACTTTAGTGGCATTCAGTATACTCTTAAAATTGCAATAATGACATCCAGTAGAGGGTGCTGCCATTTAATACATCTAAAGAATGGAACTCATTCCTAAAACAAGGTGGGCCTAGCTAGATATTTTGTGACATTGTCTGTGTTTTTTTAAAAAAAATAAATAAAGGAGAATAGTAAAAATTGAAGCTTCAGCTTCATTTTTACCTTGATCTTTGTTGTCAAATGCTTCATTATATTCAATAAACAATGCATACAATAGTAATCATGTTGACGATGCCACAAATTTTATTTCCAAAGTACAGGCCAGTGGTGGGTTGCCCCGGTTCGCACCGGTTCTATAGAAACGGTAGTAAAACCGACGGAAAGCTCCGCCCACCAACCCCAACATCATCAAAATGTTTCTACGCATGTGCAGAAGCTTCTGCGCTTCTGCAGAAGAGCATGTGGCCCCGCTGAGCATGCGGCCCCGCTGCGAAGTGGTAGTAAAGGTAAGTAGGACCCACCCCTGGTACAGGCCTATTATTATGGTGCACAAAATATCCATGGACCCTTATATTGTAAGAATCATATAATGCAGAAGACAACACTTCTTATTCTTCTTGGCCACATATTCATACCACCAGGGATTACACCCTGTAAAATCCAAAATGAGCGACTGATTTTATAACTTTTGATTGCTATACTTCCTCTCACATCTATGGCAAAATGTTTATACCTGTATAAGAATACAAAATTTTCTGTCTTTGGCTTTCAAGCTCAGTTTATAAAAGGACTCATGCCTTCCCTCCAATCCTGCCTGCTGGAATTTATCTTCCTGATAATGTATAGAACTCTATTGTGGCTCTACCTCATTCCCCCTTGTAACTTTTTCCAACCATCTTCTATCCCATTTTATCAGCTACACAAAGCTCAAATATGAAAAAGGCTGTCTTGAGACATAGGAGCATTCTTCCAGGCTAGTTTTCATGTAACAGCAGTTCAGGAGATTTTTAACCATGGTTTTTAAAACAAGCTACAGTGGCTTGATTTATACACCATGAAAGACTAAATCATGTTGCCCAAATCACAAGGTCCAGGTGGTTTAGTACAATTTATGAACCTAGCTTTAATCTTTCTCTTACTGAAAGTCTACTAAAAACTTCCTTTATACTATTTTTATTCTATTTGGGTACTGACTAACAGCTCACCTTTAAACATTGAAATGTAATTAGCAGCCTGATGCTTATTGTATAAAATAGAAGAGAATAGTACAGCTCAGGGTTGAACCTTGGAGTCCCTGGTGACTCCAAGACACTCTGGAGTCCTTGGTACTGATGATATTACCTAGTTGGGCAATGAAACATCTGCAAACAACCAAAGTCAGAGAGCATCCAAGGACTTCTAAGGGCAATATTTAGAATGAACCAGAAGTCCCAAGTCTTATGCAATAGTTCTTAGTTTGTTTATTTATTTCAATTTTAATTCAAGTATTATACAGTGCTTCAGCAGACGAGGTTCTGAAAGCAATGACTTCAGGTAAACCCCCAAATAATATCCTTTCAAAGGGCATAATGATCGTGGAGCTATTTGGCTAATGCTCCTTTCAACACGTATGCATAATCTTTTTCAGTATTCATTAACTCTCATTGCAATAAAGAGAAACAAGTTTATGTTTCTCATTGATAGAATCTTAGAAGATAAGATTAGACATGATACTTTAGCAATCCATTTGTAATAAAAAAAAACCAACAAAAGAGCTATAACATCCATGGACTTTTACTTTCCACAGCCAACTTTCATTGTAATAGAAAACAAATGTACATAAGTCCTCAACGTACAACCACTATTGAGATGAACATTTCTATTACTAAGAAGGCAGTTTCTTAGTGAGCCACACTTAATGTTATGATCTTTAATGCTATGGTTATTAAACCAATCACTCAGTTGTTAAGTGAATCAGGTGGTCGTTAAGCAAATACATTTTCCCAATTGACTTTGCTTGTCGAAAGCCAGCTGAATCAGCTGAGAGGGTCACAAATGGCAGCTACTGGATGTGTGTTTTGAGTAGCCCCAATTTAAACAGTAGATAATGGTTGCATATAGAAATTTTCTTTGTGTATTATGAGACTCCCATGGCTTTAGTTAAAGTGACAGTTCTGATTATGTAGTACTCTAATTCCACATGAATCTTATATGATACTAAGATGTTAGTATATAGTTAAAATTAAACATAAAACCAATAATATAAGAGCTATACACCTTGGAGCAGTCCATAACATCCATATCAATGGATGGAAGGAGAGAAGCAACTGAAAAGTTGTGGGTGCTCCATCACTGAAGGCTTTTAAGAAGAGACTGGACAACCAGTTGTCTAAAATGACATAGCGTCTCAGCAGGGGGTTGGACTAGATAGCAACAGCACTTAGAGTTATATACAGCATCATAGTGCTTTTACAGCCCTCTCTAAGCGGTTTACAGAGTCAGCATATTGCCCCCAACAATCTGGGTCCTCATTTTACCAACCATGGAAGGATGGAAGGCTGAGTCAACCTTGAGCCTGGTGAGATTCGATCTACCAAACTGCTGGCAGCTGGTGATCAGAAGTAGCCTGCAGTACTGCATTCTAACCAGTGCACCACCGCAGCTCTTAATGACCTCTAAGGTTGCCCTCTAGATGATCTCTAAGGTCCCTTCCAACTCTGTAATTCTATGTTCTATATTCTTAAACACCAATAGCAACAAGCCAAAAAAAGTACTGCATGGGTGAAAAGCCTTAACAAACAAAATCAACAGAATATTTATAGTCCTGGGCACGTAACTTGCATTCAAACAAGTTTACATTCTATTCAAGACATACTGCCTCTGTGTTCAGCAGTTTTGTTTCTCTGAACTGTATGCTAAGTTTTAGTTTTGCTGTAGTTTGAGGTATGGAGGAAGGAAGCTACGTAAGTTCCGTAATGGAGGATATTGTTGAATTATAACATCGCAGAGAAGTACTGGCTCAGATGTAACCAGGTGTCTGTGTCTCTTTGTGTATGTGTGTGTGTGTGTGTGTGTGTGTGTGTCTCATGCATGCATGCTAACCTATTTATTAAACTGCGTAACGAAGACTCAAGGCAGGTACTTTTTAAAAAACATTTCTAATCAGCATCCTCAACAGAAGCCATTTTTCAATAAACCTCCCTCTCAGAATTTCAACATTTCCTCAAGTCTAGTTCCTTTCATTTTCCTCTCATTTGCCATTTTACTTCTGAGAAGAAAATAGAATGAAGCACTCTAGTTAATGTCTTTTTTTAATTATTTTTAAAACAGTTTCAGTGGCTTTTTTCTTCTTCTTCAAATCAGCAGTGACAGTGTGTTAACCACACCTTCAGGAGGTGGGTAATGAGGACATGTAACTTTGTTGCATAACTGCAATTTCCCTTCAAGTCAGTTTCACTGGAAACAAACAGAATTAGAAGGCATTGGGTAATAACAGTTCCACCCTTTTAAGAATTGCTCAGGAACTGGATGCTACAGCACTATGCTCCCAGATAACCTCTCCTGAAGCCCTTCTGATGCATCAGGTGTGCCAAGCCAGATTTCATTAGCAGGATGCAAAATAGATTTCAACTTGCATTTCAAAAAGAGGACAGTTAGGCAACCTCTTGTATTACTCGAACCACTGCAATGTTTCATCAACTCTGCTACTACCGGTAGGAATATGTTAGGCAGATGACAGCAGCCAATGGGGAGACTTAATTCATGGTACCCCATGCTGTGTTTACTTCATTTTTGTACCATTTTATATTGCACACACACACAAAAAGCCTGTCAAATTCAAAAGTTCTGTCCTTGGTATGAGGAAGCTGACATTTACAAAGAATTGAACACACGCACATTATAGGAAGCAACAGCATGTTCCATTCTAAGATCTTTTTGTTTTATTCCAGATCAGACTTGAATCCAAGCTGATCATAATAAATATGACATGATGTCATTGTTCCTCATAAATGAACAATACACAATCTCAGAAGGGCAGCAGAATTCTTGTGCAGCAATGAGAACTCACTGAGATGCAGGTTTGCGCAAAAAGGGGGAAAAAAATAAGTTAGGTTGTTTAAAAAAATGTAAAGTGTGAGTATTACTGTGTATTGAAGCCACAGAGATTGGGCTGCAAAAAAGGCAAATGTAGTCTGATAACTGCAGGTTATTTATTTCTGATGTAATTTAACTAATGAAAGAAAAACGAATATAGAATTATCATGCAAATGAACCTAAGAAGATTCCTCATTAAAGAAAATGGAGAATAGAGACTCATCATGATTAATACCCTAGTATAGGTCTCCTGCGTGAGCAGGGGGTTCGGACTAGATGACCTCCAAGATCCCTTCCAACTCTGTTACTGTTATGTTATGTTAATGTATATAAAACAGAAAAATACAGGTAGTCCTTGACTTACAACAGTTCATTTAGTGACCATTCAAAGTTACCACGGCACTGAAAAATTCAACTTACGACCATGGCAGCGTCCCAAGGATTAGGTGATTAATATTTGGACACTTGGCATCTGGCTCATATTTATGACCATTGCTGTGTCCCAAGGTCATGTGATCACCTTTTGCCAACTTTTGACAAGCAAAGTCCATGAGGGGAGCCAGATTCACTTAACAACAGGGTTACTAACTTATCAGCCGCAGTGATTCACTTAACAACTGTGGCAAGAAAGTTCATAAAATGGGTCAAAACTCACTTAGATGACTCACTTAACAACAGAAATTTTGGTGGATTACCTCCAAAGGAATTACAAGATTTGATTTAAAAGACGAGAAAAATTATCTTGCTCCAGGTAATATTAAATTTTAACTCTCAAAAGCCTTCACTTTTGCTCTCAGGGCTTAACTTTAAATCTCTAGCCTTGATGTAACAGACAAAAAACCCTCTCTTATTCATTGAGACTTTATTTTTAATGATTAATACTGTGTGTTTAACATGCCATGTAACGGTTCTTTAAGAAAAGTGGCTAATTACTTCACTCCTCTAAACACATTTGCAACAATGCTTTCGAGTAACTTGGCAATCTCTAATCTGTCTAATGCAGGGGTGTCAAACATTATCATGGCAGCATCACATTTGCTAAACTGAGCGTGACTGTGGCCAGCGCATGACGCATCCGGCCCACAGGCTGGGAGTTTGACAGCCCTGATCTAAAGCATTGAATTGAATTACCATTCTTAATTGCTTTTCCATAGAAAAAGTGGGATGTAGTATCATTATGCATTGTAGTATTTTAGTCTGTAATTAGAGCTGGACCCATGTATACTATGGTGCATGGGTTTCAGCAAGCAATTGACATAGTAAAAATCAAAGTCACCATTATTTCAATAGTTCATTTTTCTTTATTATCCACCTTTCTTCTCTTTTCTCTAGCACATTCTCTTATATTTTCTTTACTCAACTCAACATAATAGATTGCCAAAGAGGGATCTGGTCAATTTTACAACAATATGAATCAATTACTTTTGGTTCTCCATGTTTGCAGCTAAAGGGAATTTTTATGTACTCAAAGAATGGGACCCTAAATAGCTCAAGGTTACAGTTCACATGGAAGTCTTCACATAGACTTGGAAGCTTCCCACTGAAGACAACTGGGCAACTAACATTGGACTTCAAAATAAGGAGATAAATGACATCCTAAAAGCCACTCACAAAAGAGATTTAGCTTATCAGGCACTGAATTGGGGATGTTAATCCATGTAGTCTTTTGAAAAGAAGTTATTTGTAAAGATAGTAGCTGGGATTAACTTTTTCTTCTGATTAAAGACATTTGATGTTTCTGTCATTGGGACCACTGCTTTCCTTTTGACTTTGAAAAAGCTAAATCCGTTTGTAATAATTTTTTTTATTTAGTTTCATTATAGGAACGAAAGTTAGAAAAATATGAAAAGAAGGAGAAAAGTGCAGAGAAAAGAAGAAGAAACAATGATTTCCGATTTTCTTCAGTGCAGTAGATTATGAAAATAAATCAACATCATTTGAATTTCTTTACATTTCACAACATTTCAAGCCATTTTTATAATTATAAAATATTTCTAATCATCAAAACCTAAAATCAAAGTCTCGTTTTTTTCAGTTTTGAACAAAACTTCAAAAGCTGTTTCCAAGTAGAAACAAAATTGGAAGTTTTTTTTCTTCCTTCTGTGGTGATAGAGTTAGAGATGGTGAAATTTTAATTAAACAGACAACTTCATCATCTCTAACTCCATTACCTTACTATCCACTCTTCCATTGAGGAAGAGAAAGCTAAATCTATTTGGTCTGTTGTACTGAGGTCTATTCCAAGATTGTGTTGTCAATTCCCAATAAGTGTATTGATTCCATAAATACATGCTAGACAGCGGTGAAATCCCCCCGATTCTATCCAGTTTGCCGAACCAGTAGCGCTGATGGTTGGAGGCTCCGCACACCCCCCGGGACGTCATTACTGCCATGTTTTTACCATCTGCCCATGCGCAGAAGGGCACGCACACTCCCATTCCCAAACCCGTAGCGAAGGTAAGTGGATTTCACTGCTGATGCTAGATATATATTTTTGAACTAGGTCTATAGAGCAACAATAAAAGAAATAATGACTGGTTTAAGATATATGAACTTACCTTCTGCTTTTTCTCCATATGTGTATGGTCCAGTAGTAAAATGTGGCAAAGAAAATACTAATGCTCCTATAGCGATCAGAAAAGAGGACAAAGCCAGCCATCTTGGTTTGTGACCTCTTTCACCATAGAAGGATATAAAAAGGCATAACACAGAGAATGAAATGTCATAACCAGCAGAGATTACGCCTGTAAGGGAACTGCTCAAATCATAACGCTTCTCAATTGTAGAAATGCTGACATTTATCAATCCATTTACAATAATCCCTAGAAGAAAAAGAGACAAGCATTAGTTTATTTATTTGTGTTTTTTTTATTGAAAAAGTTTTCAAATACAAATTTCCCCCCCTTTTTTTTCCCCCTCTCCCTCCCCCTCCCTAACCCCCCCTCCCCACCCATCCCCCCCTGTGACTTCTTCATAACAAAAAAAAACCTAATTCATAACAGATTACTTACTCCCTCCCCTAGATATTGACCTTTACTTACTAAAAATATTATTAATATTATAACATCCCCCTTTATCCATACATATCAAAAAAGAGAAAAGAAAGGGGGAAAAAAAGACATTATACTATGACATTATAGAATAACTTCTCCACTTTAAAACTATACGATAAGTCCTACTTTAACATTTAATCTTCTATATATATTACTATAACATTTCAAAGCGGCCTTCCCCATAAAATCTAGTTTAACATTTATTCCACTCTATCCATTTCCTCCACTCCCCTAAATATAACACTTAAAAATCCCTTTTCTTAGACTAATCAATCTACTAACTAGCTTATTCACCCACTATCATGCAAAATTGCCATACACAACATTTCTTAACATCTTTGATTCACTGCCCACACTACTTAAAAATATATGTCTATATTTTCCATTATATCTAAATAAAAAAAAGAAAAGACAATGACTTTAAATTTATAATCCATATAGTATCTTCTTTGAGGTCTTTCCACTGGATTAGTAGAACCAACATCCATAATCGGGTAACATAGCTTACTGGTGCAACAGTTTATTCAGGATCTTCAATCATATCTGCCCCCATCAGTAGTAAATATCTTCTTATATGTATAAAAGTAAAAACAACCACCCGAGTGACATTATAATTATATTCCATATAGTAATAATTGTGGGTTTCATCAGGATTATTAATTCCCATCATCGTAGTGGGTAACAACCCGATCTTCTGCATGCCCCAGCATAATTCTCTTGCCTTGTGATTCAAGATAATATAATATGTTTATCAACACAAAAAGAAATTCCAAAATGGATAATTCAAATCCATCAGTTTAAGGCTCATTTCACGTCCCCAAATTACGGCCATGCAGAGATCTGCCACAAACCTCAGGATGATATTAACCAATACGTCGCCTCTTCTGTGTTTACACATAATCATTCATATTTTAAAGTCACTGGCTTCACTGTTGCCTGATTTAGAAATTTCTATTTCTATGCCACCTATTTCTTTTTTTCTTTTCTTTTTGTGGGTTTGGTTTCCATCCTGGTTCCCTTTCTACAAAATATGTATCATCTGGTCGGTTTTTATTCTGCTTTGTAGATTGGTCTTGTTGGTTTTGCTTTTGTATCTCATATTTCTTTTTTATCCCTTGTATATCCCCTAATTGGTTTCCATGTTTATCCTTGCCTTGATAAGTCATCACATTAAGATTAGATGCCTCTTCTCTCAAATTTATAGATAGTCCAGCTGGGGTATCCAATAAATCCAAAGGCAATTCATCTGGTACAGTCTCTGTAATTCGATATTTTACCTTTATTTCCGGCTCCTTCTGCTTATCCTGTATTATACCTGGAGATGTTAAGTTCATTTTCAACCTATTTTGATAAAATTCTTCCGCTCTTTCAACAGTATTTAGCTGATATCTTTCTCCTTGGTATCTAAATATAATACCAACTGGGGCGACCCACCTGTAGGAGATATTTCTCTTTTTTAACTCATTCACCAGAAAACCAAATTTCTTCCTTTCCATCAATATCTTAGGTGGGAGTTCCTTGTAAATCCAAATCTTTCTTCCATACAATTGCAAATTAGAATTGAAGGAATTTTGAACGATATTATTCCTAATTTCCTTATCTGTAAAATAAATCACCACATCTCTAGGCAATTGCCTTTGCTTAGCAATCCAGGAGTTGATTCGATAAGCTCTGTCGATCCTACAAAACACTTCGTCAGGTTGAACCTTTAGAATCCCAGCTAGAAATTCAGAAGATATTTTCCTTAAATCATCTCTATTATTTTCCTGCAAACCTCTTAATCTTATCGCATATTCTGTGAAATTATATTGTACCATTAAAATCTCTTTTTCAATCTTCTGTTGCAGATTTTCTGCATTACCATACTTTTGATCAGCATCCATTTTAGGTTTTTCTTCTAAGCTATTATCCTGAGTGTTTGTCAAATCATTTTCAAATTTTTGAATTCTATTGTCCAATTTATCTTGAATTTCTTCCATTTTAGACTCTAGTACATTAGTATTTGTGTCCAACTGTATCATAAATCCTGTAAAACCATTAACCACTTTTGAGAATTTTTTCTCCAAAAAATCAAACTTAGATTTCACCAATTCTTTAATTTCCTGCTTAAATTTTTCAAATTGCTGATTCACAATCTCCTCCCTTCTTTCAATCTCCTCTATAAAAAATTCTATTATATTAAAATCAGGTTTCTGAGACTGAAGAATTAAGACTTGTTCCTTTAAGTTGTTGGTGGGGGGATCCCCCCCCTTCTTGTTTATCTGACTTTATGAGTCTCAGTGCCATGTTTCCGCCCAGGCAGGCTTTGTTAAAAAAAAAGCAAGAAAGAAAAAAAAAAGACTTCTTTCCAATCAACAACAATATCAGGTCTCCAAGGGAAAAAAAAAAGAGAAAAAGACACAGGAGCGAAGTTTTGTCTACAAATGTAGCCAGTGGTATTTATTCCGCTACATTGTAGTAATAGAAAACGGAAGGACTTTCCCTTTCAGCCTCTCCTCCAGCCAACGCCATTTTAAAAGGCTTTCTTTTTTTCCTCTTTCTTTTCCTCCTCTCTCTTAAGTAATTTTTTTTAAAAAATCAGTAAAATACTTGCGGTTCAATATTACAGGTCCAGCTCACATTTTCTTTGAGTAGTCTGTTAAATTTGCAGGCTTGCTTTTGACGCCTGGCTCTGCATCAGCAGAGGTCTCCCAAAGCCCGGAGCGGCGGCTGGGGATACGGGGCATCTCATCCGCTCCGTCCCAAAAGTAAAAAAAAAACTTTTGGGACTCCGCAGAGAGTTCTACCCACCCCTGCCGGCTCTATCTCCGTTTCCTCATGGAAACGAAGTTTTTTCGAGCCGCCATTCCATTGTGAAGGTGGCTCTAACAGGCGGTGGAAGTTGACGATCCCAAAGGAACGTCTGGCAGCGACAAACAGCAACCCGGAAGTCAATTTATTTATTTATAAATAAATAATATTTATTTATTTGTGTTTTTAATCTGTCAATTTTGTAGCCCGCCCAACTCCAAAACAACTCTTAGTAGCGTCACAAATTTAAAAGCATAAGAAAAACAAAATGGGAAAAAGAAGCACAATCCTCCCAAGAAAATAAGCAAAACATACTCTTTACATTGTCATTAACCTAAAGCAGCCCATCAAATTCCCTAAACTAAAGCCTGGAGAAAGAGCCAAGGTATTAGAACTTGTTGGAAAGTGGGTCTGATTAATCCGATTACGTATATAATTTTGTGGATTTTTAAATGCAGTTTTCAGACCATCCTTTTCTGACTCTGACCAAACAGTGATTAAAAAATTGCCATTTTAAGAAAGAAACATCTACAATACTTTATCCAGAATTCCTCTTAAAGAGAACTCTTAGGTTCCTTAACCTGATGGCCAAAACTAGAGACCTCCAAGGAATATCTCAGACTCTACAATGTATATTTACAGTCTCCATTTTTCTTCCCCACTTCTTCCCCAGTTATTTTCACCTAAGTTAATAAATGGGATGGTTTTCCTTTTCCCCAAATACATAGTTCCTTGCAATATTACACATCTGTCTGAATATATCTAATTCATGCAGAAGAAAATTTGTTGTGTTTCCAAATAATTGTGTATAAGGTTACAGTGTTCACTACCTGATGTTCACCATCTAATTGATTCATTGATTTCTGAGTTTTTAATTCTGGATCCAACTTATAGAATCCAAAGAAGGATCGCTTGTCATCATTAAAAAGCACCTATTTTCCTATTTAATTAGAATATATTTCCACAAGTAGTTTTAGCTCTATTTTATTCAAGTCAGTATTATTTCAACAGCAATATTTGATCAACAACTTTATGCAGAATCATAGGCATTGGCAATCATAACCTTCAATCTCAGTTATAGTTGTTGGAGAGTCCAAATTATCACCTTGGAAGACTTAGATGGATCAGATAACTAGAACAGTAATTGCTTAGTTCTGGTCAAACAGCAACTGTCAATAATACTTTTGAATCTAAAAGCTAAAGTTTACGTTTCAGGTCCTCCACCCATTAGTTCCTCACACATCATGTGGTAAGATAGCTGATGCACCACTTGACACATTGCTGAACAAGTTTCTTGCTGGAATAAAAACCTCATTTATGACTTGAAGCAGATGAGTGAACCAGTCAAACTCCATGGGAGTTCACTTAGTTGAATTTAGTTTGTCGCTTTCATTTCAATGGGTCTATCTTATCATACTGATAAGTGTGTACCCATGTAATCTGTACACTGAGATGTACAGATTGTGTAATTGACCCCGGTTTACAGTGGAATCAATGTACATAAACCATTGGGCACATTTTACCAAATTATGGCAACTTGACATAGGGTATAAAGCTTCTCTTGCTGCAGTGACAATTTCTCTTCATGTCAAGGAAACAGAAACTTTTGCACAGGAGTTAAGAGACTAGAAAAACAAGGAGACCAATAAGAATTCTTTTTTATTACCTCTATGGGGTTCTTTGATCAAAGAAAATTTATCCCCTTTGTTTGTTCCAGTCAGATTTTAGTATCAAAATAGCTGCTTTTAAACAGTTGGGAAATTTATAAATTTTCTTTCCTTACAAAATCTTATACCTAACCCTTTCCGGGTATAAAGCCCTACTCTTAAAAAAAATCCTAAAATTCAGAATGATAGAACATATATGCTATGTTTGAAAACAATTATGTGCCAAGTTGTATTATTTCACTGAAATGAAATGTTTACTATTGTAAACTGCCTTAGAAAATCTGACTATGAAGCAATTTGTGACATTTTTTTAAAAAGTGTGATACAAAACCCAGTAAAGCAGCACTCAAATCTGAAACACTTCTTATAAAACACACCTATCAGTTTACCTCATAGCACAGGAGTGCCTGATATCGGAAGCCATTACTCAGAGACAAGAAGCATATTCTCATTGCCATAGAACATGGGTCTTCAAACTTGGCAGCTTTAAGACTTGTGGACTTCAACTCCCAGAATCCAGCATAGCTGGCTGGAGAATTCTGGGAGTCGAAGTCCACAAGTCTTAAAGCTGCCAAGTTTGAAGACCTCTGCCATAGAAAATAAGATGGGAGAAGCCTGGTGAAGAAGATGGTCAAGCATTCAATCTCACTTTAGAAATAGACAAAGGGATCAAGAGAGATTTTAAAGGCCTCCACCCCATCCCAGCACAAAGCTGACAATTATTTTCTGGTTTCTCTTCCACAAGACAATGCTCCAACTCTAAGGTGATTGCCACATATCACCAGCCTACACTAGTTTCGTCACATCTGCATGTGACAACCAGTGAAAGCCAGTGAACACATCTCCCAGTGTGATTTTTTGTGTTCTAATATAAAAGGGCTTATAAAATAATAATATAATATAATGTACTCAAGATCACTTTACGTTGCGAACTAGTTGAAATGAGGGGTCAAGAGGTTTAGAAGTACTAAAGAGGTTTGGGGTGCTTTTTTGAGGGTGGAGAGCTTTCTGTTACTCATATTTCTGAATAAGAAACAATTGTATATTTCACATTAACACCTCAGCCTAAATCCACTTGTACTGAATAAGCACTTGATAATTATCAAACAAAGTTCTCTTAAGCAGGACTATAACATTCATTCTATTTCCATTTCTATAAAATTGCAGAACTGGGACAGTAAGGCTATCAATCTCTACTTCTCTATAAGAAAAATTAAAGCGTTTATGATATATTGCTACCTAGCCTATGCTTGAAAATAACCAAAGCCCAGAAACAGACTTGGTGATAAAAAAAAAAAAATCAAACTCTTGGCCTGACATGGTAGGAGGGCCCAAATCAGGGGTCAGCAACCTGCGGCTCTGGAGCCGCATGTGGCTCTTTCATCCTTCTGCTGCAGCTCCCTGTCACTCAAAATATGTGTCACAACTGCCAATGTGTGATACCCACCAGCACATGATTTATTGAGCTTTTCGACACCCGGTAGGCCAACCATGGTTAAATCCAAGGAAAAAAAAGTTTCAAAAGAGAACAGAACGTTTAATTCAACTACATATGCTAGTTCTGTGGCCGCTTAGAAAATAGTCAGGCACTGGAAAAGTTTTGTGGCTCTATTCTATTGGAGGCAATGTTTTACAATAGTTCCAATCCTTGGAATCTTGGATCGTGTCCAGAGGGTTGGGCAGAGAAGCTACTTGTCAGGTTATTTGAGACAATTGTCTCAAACTGATGGTAATTATTTGCAATTATTTCTTGTTAATGCACAAAGAATATTTATTTTCAAGGCTTTTTTTAGCAAAATATATTGAGAGAAATGTGATGGGGTTATAAAAATGGAACAAGTGGATTTTTCCATTTAGGACCAATTTATCTCTTATTACTTGTTTTGTTTTGTTTTTTTAAATGATAATCTGGGAGTTCCTTTTTTCCCCATCATTACTAGAAAACCTCCAATTGGTTATTTACATAACAGACTGCTAAAGGTGTTATTAATCAGGTCTGGTGGTTAAACACCAGGTTAGAAACCAGGTAACAATGAGTTCTAGTCCCACTTTAGGCATGAAAGTCAGTTAGTAACTTTGAGCCACTCACTCTCTTTCACCTCAACCCACTTCACAGGGTTGTTGTTGGAGGAACAAAGATTATTAGCTATGTTTTCCATCCAAAGTTATTTATAAACATAATAAAGGCAGGATAAAAATAAATAAACTCACCATTATACTAGTCTTTGACACTTAAGCTATTATTTATGATGTCCCACCATATTTCCGCTTCTCATGGAGATGTTTAATATTTATATGAAATTGCTGTTAAGAGATAATACCAAATTCTGGAGTGCCCTGTCATCACAATGCTTTATTGTTTCTTGCCTTCCAACTCCAAGGGAGTACTCAATACAGGTAGTCCTCGACTTACAACAGTTCATTTAGTGACTGTTACAATGTCACAGAAAAAAAGTGATGACCATTTTTCACACTTACGACCATTGCAGCATCCCCATGGTCACATGATCTTTTGATTCAGATGCTGGACAACTGCTTCATATTTATGACAATTGCAGAATCCTGGGGTCAAGTGACCCCCCTTTTGCAACCTTCTAACCAGCAAAGTCAATGGGGAAGTCACGTTCACTTAACCACTGTGTTACTAACAGAACAACTGCAATGATTCACTCAACAACTGTTGCAAGAAGGGTCATAAAATGAGGCAAAACTCACTTAAATGTTGCACTTAGCAACATAAATGTTGGTCTCGATTGTGGCCATAACTCGAGAACTACCTGTACTACTCTTAATGCTGTCTACATTACAGAATGGGTGGGATTTGGAAGAATAAACCGAAGTTAAATCCAGTCGGGGCTGGCTAACAAGCAGTTAGATTCAGAGATTAAGGTTCAAATATTTTACATGGAATCGCACTTCCTGGAGAAAATGAAACCTGAAGCCTGGGACCCTCTTTGATTTTTACCTGCCACTGGATTCTCAGATGGTGTGTATGTGTGTATGTATATGCATACACACACACACACACATACACACATACATATGCATATGCATACACATACATACATACATACATGCTCCTTAGTTTACTGCTGTGGGTTCTACACCTAGTTGCCTTGAAAAGTATCCCTAAGTTACAAATGAATGACAAATAGCCAGCTAAATTGCCAAAGTGCAAAGTGCAAGGCATGTACAATCCTTGCACTGAAAGATCTGTATTGGTTAACCGATTGTTTAACAGACACAATTTAACGTTTGTATCCTTAAAGTGGTTTAGGACCAAAGCAGCTATTCTTCCCTTTCAGACTTGTCAGGCTGATGTACCCCTGCCCAAGTCAGGCTGGTTATGTGACCCACAGGCTGAGGGGCTTCTACCGAGTCACCAATGGATATCTCTGGTCATGAGTTTTGCCTTGTGTTAGGGATGCCTATAAAGATGACCCTCTTCCACAGGACCTTAATTGCTGGTTAATTTTAGTCTCGGGCTTCATTTTGTTCCACCCGTTGTATTTTTATTACTGCTAATTAATTATTTTGACAGCGCACCGGTTTCATCATCAGGCATTGGAAGGCATTCCAGTTAGGGAACGATCTACCCGCAGCAGAAATGATGGGAATTAGTTCAGGGGCGCAGCGTCTGGGAAGCGGGGTCCCTCCGCTCTTAAATCCTCTTATTAGCTGGGACAGAGAGCTGGACATCCGAGGGCGAGCGGAACACTAACGTCGCCGAGGCAACTCAATAGTAACTCAATAGTCCTGGTGAAAAGTCCCGTCCCCGGGAATGGGCTCGCCGCTCCCGCTTACCTTGGAAGACCGAGAGGAGGCTGTAGAAGACCAAGTAGCCTTTGACGTTGTTGCAGACCTGCAGGGCGCGAGGAGTGCATCGGCCGATCCCGCAGAGTTGCTCGTCCGGGTCAAAACTCGGCGACTGCAAGATACTCGGGGTCGTCGGAGAGAGCCGAGGGTCGATAAGATCCGGGGTGGAAGCCTGGAAAGCCGGATTCTCCAAGCCGGCGTTTTTCATGGCGCGATCGGAGGGGGCCGGGAGAAACTCAGCGTCCGAAGCACCTGTCGTCCAAGCGCCTGCCCGTCTACATAAGGCAGAGGGAGAAGAGCCGATCAAGGCGGGCCCGCCGTCAAGAACCGGCAAAGTGAAAAAAAAAAAAAAAAAATTAGGAAGAAGAAAGGCAATGAAGAAAGCCAGCCCTCTTGCGAGAGGACGGAGGTGGATCCCTCGGCGCGGTGACCTGAGGTTTCTCCTTACTGGAATGACCAGTTTGCTCGTATGCCCAAGGAGACGCGCCACCCTTGCTCCCATCAGCGCCTGAAATCAGCCCAGCGGGGAGAAAGGAGATCTGCGAGTGGGACAGCCGCCAGGAAGACGAAACCAAACCGACCCCCCCCCACCCCCCCCCCCCCCCCTTCCCCCCCCCCCTCACTCCCTCCCCGCTCACCCTTAAATAGCAGCCACCGGAGAGGAAAGAGTAAGCGCATGAAGAGTGAGAGCCGGTAGATGTCACCCGTGTCCGTACTAAATCTGGAGTTGCCTTCTCGTTTTCGCCACCGGACTCTGATCGGAAGAGTTGGCTTCTTAATAGTTGCAGTTTTGGGGTATGGGCGATTCCCTTCCCATCCCCGATGCCCACGCTTTCCTGAGATGTGACAAAATGTCTCAAGATATTGGGACAGACAGTAGGTTCCACATTCCAGTTTAGGGTCTTAATAAATGGCGATTCCAGATCATTGATACAGCTCATGGCCAAAACAATGGGTCAACTAAGCCGACCATGTTAATTGCAGAACATTCAACCCATCTGGAATGTTGAAGACAGCCTGCTTTGTGACAGTTAAAAATGACAGTTGTCGATGGCGCCATGGAAGGCATGACATCACTCTGCCCAAGCAACACACTCTTTATCAGTGTTTCTCAACCTTGGTAGCTTGAAGATGCGTGGACTTCAACTCCCAGAATCCCCCAGCCAGCAGCGCTGCAAGATACTCAGATTCTTGGAGTTGAAGTCCACCCATCTTCAAGCTTCCAAGGTTGAGAAACACTGCTCTTTATGAACTGGACCGGTAAACATTAGCACTAGGTGTCCCCAAGTTTAGAAAAAAAAAGTGAATACTTTATACTTCAGATTTATCTGGCGATTTCACAGAAGTTCGTTAAAGCTAGTGGGAGGGCTGGCCGAATAAATGAATAACTGAAAAGGTTAACAATGATAGGTTTTCTCTCTTCCCCCACCCTCTTTTTGGGAATCAGTTGAGTTTTCCTTTTCAGTTTAAAGTATTGGTAAGATTTGAACTTAAATTTGAGTCTTCCGATCCCGCAAAGAATGGGAAGTCCCAAATAGACAAGTGGCAAAGTGACAGTCCTGTCTGGTGTAAGTATGATTTTCAATTGTGATTAACAAGAATTTGTTAACAGTTTATTCAAGGGGGGTATTATGTCTCCCCATCATCCACTGATGAAAAAAGATAAAAGTGAGTATGTTTGGCCTTCATTAAAAAAAAAAAAAACCTACTACTTTGCCTTTTTTTAATCAAGTCAGATACATCTGGCTACAACTCTGTTTGGGCTGATGGGAGCACTCACTACTTTCATTTTCAGGATGATAGTAGTTCTCCTAGCCTTGAAATGAAGCCAGTTGAGTTGTAATTACCCCCCTCCCCTTCCATGAGATAGGTAGGAGATCAAAATCTACTTTTTTTATCCAGGGCCTTTTATTCTTTCAGGAGTTTTGTTTTAATTGCTTTAATATTTTTAATTGCTTTCAAATGCACTGTGATCTTGTTTTTATGGTGTTTTAAAGCTTGCTTTCTTTGCATTCTTGGATGCAGCCCTGAGCCATTATTAGAGTGGGCAGCGTACTAAAACTCCAAGAAAACAAAGGAACAAAAATGGCTTTTGGAGGTAATATAAAAGTAGGACAATCATCTCCTTTTTTCTATGCCCAAAGCATGGGAATTGAATATCTCTGTGGGGTACATTAAGAAATGTGGGAGCAAATGAGTTTCCCCCAACTAATTACTGGGAGCATGAGGTATTCTTTAGAGCAATCCCAAAGGTACTTTTTCAAGAGACAACTGGACTTTCTGGGGTTTTCTTTCTTTTTCTTTGAAGATGTCTCGCTCCTCATCCAAGAAACTTCTTTAGCTCGCTAAAGAAGCTTCTTGGATGAGAAGCGAAACGTCTTCAAAGAAAAAGAAAGAAAACCCCAGAAAGTCCAGTTGCCTCTTGAAAAAGCACCTTTGGGACTGAAGAAGCTTCTTGGATGAGAAGCAAAACATCTTCAAAGAAAAAGAAAACCAGAAAGTCCAGTTGCCTCTTGAAAAAGCACCTTTGGGACAACCATGACCTGGATGACTGAAAATCTCCATAGACATCTTTAGAGCAATGTTTTTCCACCTTGGCAACTTTAAGATATCTGGACTTGAACTCCTAGAATTCTGGCGGTTAAAGTCCATACATCTTAAAATTGTCAAGGTTGGAAAACACTGCTTTAGGGCATGACAAAGAGCATGACAATTATAGTGCCCCCACAACAGCAGAAGCAGCATGACATTTGCTCAACAACCCACAATCACTACATAATAATCCATTGCTACATATTATGTTTCATATGTTATGCAATGGAAACTCAGATGAGCAAAATAAAGATAACAGTGTTTAGATTTGTTAGTGAACAAATTTAAAAGAGCGAACAGCGGAAAGAAAGAGCTCTCTTTGGACTTTGATTAATTGAAACCATGTTTATCAGTTTTTTTAAGGCAATCTGAAATATGTAAAAATTAAAATAATTCTTTAAAAAAAAATAAAAGTAGAGCAACAACATAGTACAAATTAATTTAATTACAGATGTAAACATTGTACAAATAAACGAGTGAAACAATTCATGTAATACTTTATTAGGAACATCCAAAACTTCACAGGCTGTTTATAAAACATCTATGAAGTGAGGAACTAATTAGACAACATGCATATATTGCAACACAAATTCTGCACCAGAATATACCTGTGGCGATATTGTAACTCATGTATCCAAGAGTAAAATTTACATCCTGTTTTACAATGCATTTTTCATCATTCTGACTTTATAATAGCTAGCAAAAAAGAAACCATTCACAGATACCTGGATATTTTACAAGGACTGCTGCCACCACTGATACAGATACAAGACTGTATCTCATATATAACTAGCCTAGTAAATTTTACTAGTAGATTCAAGTGTAGGAATTCCAATCTTAGAGTCTCAAGTTTCTACAGAGATGAAAAGTCCCATACTATTTAGTCATTACACCCTGTCGCCAATAAGATATTAACCATCACTTTGATCCAGCTATGTTCCAGATGACTTGGCAGATTTTACTACCCTAAAAGAACAGTAACAGAGTTGGAAGGGACCTTGGAGGTCATCTAGTCCAACCCCTTGCTCACACAGGAGACCTGTACTAGGGATTCAAACCGCCAAACTGCCAGCCTTTCTAATCAACAAGCTAGTGTCTTAGCCACTGAGCCACCTAGTTAGAGTACATAAAACCAACACAGGAAATGTATGATAACATGATTAGGTGGGACACTGGTGATACACAACTCCGCGTTTGTCAAAATGGTGGTATTTATTATAAAATGAAGTCAAAATATTTGGGGGGGGGGGATGAGGAGACCCAATGAAAATCTTGTTGATTTTCTGATCCAACGCAGAATAGGCATCTCACCATTTTTTAAAAAAAATCTCAAAGCTGATGTAGAGGTGCAAAGGTGGTCAACTGTTACTTTGGATTATCTATGTTTCTTCTTTTTCCTCAGCTCTTTTTTAATCCATCAATGCACAGAAGAAACAAACATGTTCCTGCCTGTAAAAAAAAATAATAAATCTCTTGGATGAGTGACCTAAGAATGAAAATAAATATTTCATGTTCTTCCTGGTCTTTTTTAACCTATGTACTTTGATTTGCTGTACAGTCCATGCCCATAGACGAAGTTCAATTGTACATGGATTTTAAGTTCCTGATTAATATCAGTTCATGATTTGCTCAAGAAGTGACTGAAATTTAATATAACTTCATCAGAGACCAATATTACTTCTGTAAATGACATTGTACACAATTACTATCTGAAACCTACAGAAAGCAAATCTATCCATACTATTATCCATTGTACTATATATTGGAAATAAAAATATCTTGATTATCCTGGCCTAGAAACACAAGAACCAGGAAATACATGCATAACATTGTTGAATGGGGGAAGGTGTGTTATTTGCTTATATCTATGAGCTATTCCAGTGATGTAAATATAGCCAAAATTGGGGAGGTAGTTGCCTTGGGTTGTATAGACAAAGGGATGTGTGCCTGGGCCAATCATCTTTTAAATATTAACCAGCCTAACCCACAGATACCCGCCCATCAGGGAGTCCAATATGAGCAGAGTGGCATATTGGTAGGGGTGGTGTCACAAATGGCGAATGTGAAGGAGCAAACCAGAAGGGAAAAAATCATCAATACAAGAAGTAAAAGAAGTTAACTATGAAAATCAGGAAACACATCCCCCCTTCCCCCGTTTCAATAACAATCACATTTTCTATTTTCTTAGATTTTATTTTATTTATTTATTTTGTCAAGGATGTATTAGATAATATATATAAGTATAAACATGATTTGAATACATGAAACGAATACAAGTAAAGGAAACATTAGGACAGGGATAGTAGGCACGGTGGTGCGCTTATGTACGCCCCTTACAGACTTCTTAGGAATGGGGTGAGGTCAACAATAGACAGTCTAAGGTTAAAGTTTTGGGGGTTTGGGGATGAAACCACAGAGTCAGGTAGTGCATTCCAGGCATTGACCACTCTGTTGCTAAAGTTGTATTTTGTGCAATCGAGTTTGGAGCTTATGAATATGTGACAGTAGTAAATGTCTATGAAGACTCTCAATCATCCAAGTCATGGTTGTCCCAAAGGTGCTGTTCAGAAAAACCAACTGGTCTTATTTTTTTGTTTTTTGTTGAAAACATTTCACTTCTCATCCAAGAAGCTTCTTTAGTTCTTGGGCAAGAAGTAAAATGTTTTCAAGGAAAACAAATAATAAAACCCGGTTGCCTTTTCAACAGCATCTTTGTGATAGTCACAGTAACTGCATTTGTACAATACTTTTTACTATTGCATGTTAGGGAGGACCCCCCCCCCACAAGGACATCAGGTGGGAAGAAAACCACCCCCCAAAAAAGGAAAAGCCTCCCACAAAATAAAAATCAAGCCGCACTCTCTCGCTGACTAAGAAAGTAACCCAAAGCCACAACATCAAATATCCATGAATGAGATACTTTGAATCCATGCATATAAGCGGAGCACTTATTGAGACCAAATACCAAGTATGTGGAACAGTTCCATTC